CCCTAAGCTTTGTGTTTCTTCAGAATATTTACCTCCAGTTTATTTACACAACTTATTATCATTTCTATTTTTCCCTGGGATTCGGCACAAACGGAGGCTTATTGTGACTAGCACGTATACATTCTCAGTCCGAATTCCATATCGTTTTTTTTTCTTTTTCATCTTCATATTTTCTTAAAGCATTTCCGAGTAAATCACAGACTGGGTATAAACCCTAATCCTACTTCAGGAAAAGAAAAAATAAAATATTTTGTTTTGTTTTGTTGAGTGTCTCTAGGTAGTGTTTATGTTGGTGAGAATATTAACCTGATTACACATTTGTGGCTCATCTCGCTCCCTTTTCCCTCTTTATCAAGCTTGTCTCTTCTCTGTTTGCAGGAGCAACAAAGGAAAAAAGTTTACTTCAGGGCCTGAATTTGATAATCTAATTTTCGTTGCAGCACTTGTAACAAACGGCTTTGGCAGTATATACCTGCATCACATTTTCCTTAATTGGGGTCGGGATAGGGTTCCTTGAGTTAACAGGACCTGCCAGACTGGATTTGTGTCAGGTTTATCCGATATTATATTCTCCCTGGATTACAAAGACAATATGACTGCATTGGATGTGCATTTTAAAGTCGAGGTGGAGTAGAAATTCTGTACATCATCTCAGGTGATTTAAGAATGATTATCAGGTTTTTCAGAACATGTTTATCTCCCTTTGGCATGTTCTATGCTAAATTTTGTGATAACACTAAATTACATGGAAAATATGGTGGTAATTTTTTTTGGGTATGTGGGATTGATTGCACATTTTCTTCTGGAATTATTATTTTTAAAAAAAAATTTAAAGATCGATCTAGTTATTTCAGAGTACAAGATGTTTTTTTTACCAAATAAGGTAGTTTTCTGTTTTTAAATTCTTGCAGTTTTATACTAGTGACTGTTAATTTAATGGTTGAGTTTGCATTGCATTTAGACTTTATTAAAGAATTTCCTAACTTCATGGCATTTTAAATTTTCCTGACATTGAGTAAATATTCATGCTGTGTTCTAAAAATATGAACATATCAGGGAGTTGTCCCCCTTTGGCAAAATTTATGGATGCTTCAGCTAAAAACACTTAGGTTTAACATTTCTTTCTCAACAGGGGCTTGAGTTGGCATTATAATTTTTCGACATCAGTTCTGAGCTACAACATTTCCTGATGTGCGTTTTGAAAATAGATACAAGTATCTGGCTAATTTACTCTGAAAATAAGGCAAATTAATAGCTTGTTTCTCTTTTATCTTAAGGCAGCTAATTCATGTGATTTCATTCTCTGATGTTTCATAAAAATATTGGGAAAATATGCGCTTTGAAAAGGGGTGATTATTTCAACTTTTCACAGCTGAATGATTCATAAGATAAGATTCGAATATGAGGAAATATTATGTACCTTGGCTCGAGAAAAATGTTCTCAGAGCCATTACACAAATGTATCTCAAAAAATTTGGAGGAAAATGGTTGTAGATCAAATAGCACAGAGATTAAGCAACAATTTTCTCCAAGGGGGAACAGAAATGAGAGGTTTTTTTTGTACTAATGTTTTGTGAACTCAGCGTAATTGTAAAACTGTTTTTAAGGAATCTTCTGTAGGCCTGAGACATCCATACTCAAATTTACATCCTCATGAAACATAATGTTCTCCATTTTGAAAGATTTTCAATTATGTGTAACATGATCGTAGGCTGGTGTATTAATACTGGTAATTAGGATCTTTTCATTTATTCATTAAGTATGGATATTCCTCAAGTTTTATGCTACAATGATAATTCTTTTTAATTATATCTTTAGTTAACTCCTTTAAAAAAAAAAAAGAGGGGGGAGGGAGACCTGTTGCTTACGGTGACTTGTGGATTTGAGTAGGGAAGCAAACACATTAGAATCAAGTGGTCAAGATTTTCACACAGACCTTTCATAGAGAGAAATTTTACAGGGATTAGTTTTGGAATTCCACGCTAGAATACATGAATGTGATTTGCTGGGATGTTTGTTGAAATAAAGGGATTATGGGTATTTATTTCCAGTAAAAAGGTTTTCATATTTGTAGCAAAGCATCCTAAAAAGTTGCTTTTGTGCTTGAGTGGTGAAAAATTGTTTGGGGCATTGTTAAAGTATTTACCACCATAGAAACGAGATTGTTGGGCAGCTAGACATATATCATTTTATAAGTTACCCATCTGAAAATCATCACCAATTTCTTTCACTTGAATATTTTTACTGAAAGCAAGGATTTTAATAGCTTTTAGAATTGTTTGAGTATAATCTTTACACATAATTTTCTGGTTTTAAATTAAGAGTCCCAAATAAATTGCAGCTCTAAATGGGAAAAGGTCTGGCATTATTTGAATCATTTCATAATGCACTCGAAAGCGGGGTCACTGGTGCTGTAGATGATGAGTTTTATAAGAAAGAACCATTGAAATAGGAAATTGCTGTTCTGTTGACTTTCCTTTGGAATACTGATATTTAAGTGGATTTCATTAAAGTGTCTTTTGATTCTCTTGTTTGCATCATGTTTGGTAAAATCTAAAGTCTGCTAAAGGTCTTAATAGTTTGACGAATGTTTTCAACACAAAAGAGCTAAACTAGAGAAGGTCTCTCAAGATGTAGTAATATAACCCATGCATTTAACAATATGTGAGAAAATTCGTAAGATCTTTATTAAAATTTGGAATAAAAAAATCTTTGTTAGTGCAACTTAATCTGTTATCCAAAATTTGTATGTACAATCTTACACACAATAAGGAGATCTAAGTTATGAATAGATATGGTTTCTTGTTCGAGTGTTGTCATCATGAAAATCATTTTCAAACAATGTACGTTTATAAGTTACAGCATTGATAGACAGTCGAATCGGTAAGAAAATGACAAAGAAGCAATTTCAGGAAAATTATTTTTTCCGACCGTGTTAAAGAAACAAATTGTAGAATAAAAAAAAAAAAGAAACAACATTGGTCTAGGAAGTCTGTTAATGTTTGACTACATCCTGTGCAAAAAATAGTTGTGTTTATTTTTCAGGTGAACTCCATAACAGTTAATTACATGAAATTTAAACAGAAGAAAGCATTTGTCTCTGATTGTACGGTGAAATAGTTTGTTTTTTTGCTGAATTATCATTTCCTGTGAAAAAAAAAAATTCAGACATATAAGCAATTTTGTTCTCATATTTAATGGATAAGCTTGAAAGAGAAGAAGAAGAGAGAATTTTTTTTCACTTTAGAAATTAGCTAACCCGAGCAATGCCAAAAGAAAGAAATATGACTTTTTCCAGAACCCAATGGCCAGGAAGTCTAGTTAATTATTTTGTTACATGCAGACTTTAAAAAATAATTGGTAAAAAGGATATATAATATAATGTTGAAATACCACCCGCAAGCATCACAAACAATGCCAAAGAAATTCTCAATGTTTCTGGATGCAGTCATGCGCCCCTCTATATAGAAAGCTTGTGTCAGTCGAAAGATAATTGTTTTTTTTATTGCTTGTATGCATATATACATTTAGGTGTTTTTTGTCATTAAGGAAAAAAGACAGTAAGTCTTGAAACAATGATATTTTCAAAAAATTGTAAAATTTTGTAGAATTTGAAATTTGGAATCCAAAGATAATTCATAATGCTGTTTCATTCCAAATGTCAAGGGTATAGTTCCTAGATAAGGAATAATATCCATTTCTTAATTGACATTGAATTTCGTTAAATTGTAATCACCAAATCTTTTCTGGGGGCCCAGTATTAAAGGTTTCTTTTTAGGTATTTATAAGTAAGGGAAAAAGAATCACAAAATTTGGTCACTGTTGTTAATAATTTTTCTTATTACTTATATACACAAGAAATAAAATTTTCATGAGTAGATAGTCTCATGCAATTTAATACACGAAATGAAGGCCTTGTGAATTAAAAGCTATTTTACACTATGAAATATCCCTTGATATCAAAGCATATATGATGAAGTAGACTGAGTTAGTGGACTTTCTATTCAAAAAACAAAGTTTAAAGTAGTTTGCAGTTTATTAATTGAATTTTCTACTGCTCCTAGTATTCATTAGAAGTGTAGAATTCTCTTATGCCCTGGTGTCAGAAGTTTGAAAAATGGAGTCTGCAATTGAAGATTAACACTTGAGTGATGGTGATTTAACGGGCATGAAATGCTTTGGACATGATAGCTTTAACAGGAAAAAAATATGTTGAGAAATTGGTGCAAATGTCAGATGCCTTGATTTCTCATTCCTCATTCTCAGTGAATAATGAAATAATAGCTATTCCAGAATTACAAGAGAGAGAGAGGTTTTCACACAAAAAGTTGATTGAAGTGGGTTTCTAAAAGGGGAAGGCAATAGCTCAAGAAAGCAGGGAATGACTGGTAATGAAATATTTGGTAGTCTTATTGATTGAACATATGTAAAACTAATGAAAAATTTATGTCAAACATTTAAAATGCTTTTATTAAAATATTCTAAATAGTAGGATTGAGGATTTTTTTTTTTAATTGGACGATTTTTTCTTCTTTTATTCTCTGTATGTAATGTTGATTAAAAGAGCAGAGTTTGAAAATTCAAAGGATCAAAAGAATCAAAGATGTGTTATAAAATACCATCTATCATTTATATGTGTTTTTTCCTATACTTTTGGGAAAAAAATTGATGTTTTAATGTAAATCAAATCAGATGTTCTCTTAGAGAGGCCCCTGTTGGATATGTGAACTTTGGAGTTCAGAAAGTGTAAAAAATGTATTTAAATATTCGGCATCAAATGAGGCCAAAATGATTAATGGGAAGAAAACCTGGTGAATGGTATGAAATTTCTGTTTTTGATAAATTTTCGCCTCAGAAAACGATGTTGCCATAGTGTAGCCAAAATGAGTTTATATGTGTATTTGTTATCAATATGGCAAGAGGAGCCAGATCCTATTTCCTCCCCTCTCTGCCTTGGGGGAAACCACGTGGAGTTATTTATATTTTGACAGGGCTAACAAAAAAAACTTGCCAGTGTTATTTGATACTTGGATACAAATTTACTGCAGAGGTTCTCATCTCGTTTCTAGCACTCGGTGTATACACAAAATCGGCCATTAAATGCGTGCATGTGTAGCATTCTTGGAGGAAGAAAAACGTTGCTCGGCAGTGTTTTTGTTTGGATTTTTCTTTGATTTCCCTTCTGATTGTCGATTGTAAATTGTGGTAATTTATGGTGGCAAAACAAGACAGAATTTGTGAATGGATAACGGTCCTATCATGCTGGACATGGCAAAGGTTTCTGTGAATGAAGGGAGTTAATGTTTGCACATTAAATGTTGTGAGCTGATTTTTATAGTTCAGCAGAGGTAAACTGCAATAAAACTTCTGTGGAATGGGTGCTACCTCTCAAACTAATGTTGATATACAAATCTTCACATAAATCGGCCTTTTTCATGCTTATCGCTTGCAGTTACGTTGGGAAATATAAGAAATTAAGCATTTAGTGGATAATAATTGGATGATAATACCAGGTAGGTGTAAGGTTCATGTGCCCAGCTTTTTTTTTCTCTGTTGCTAAGAGGTGTTTTGAGAAAAGAGAAGAAATATAAATAGCCTGTGAATTCCTAGATGTTTTTTCATAGGTGCCACACGAACATCTGTAGCAAAAGAAATCCCATCATCTAATCTGATATGCCATCAGCAAATGGAATTTGGTTTTCGTGTTTCAGAGGTGTTGCAGGGCTGTTTAATTTCTTGTTCAATAATGATGTTTCTTTAGGAGCTCTTGTATCAGTCACGACCAAAGTAAATGAATGAGGGCATAAATTAAACTTATTAAAACCGACACAAGAGAGTGAATTTCCCTAATGCCAGTGGCTAGTGTAAAGCTGGAACTGGGTCAAGCACAGCACACCTCTCATCTTCCTTTAGCTTTTCTGTGCCTGTGTGGTGTAAACCCAATTCTAACACAACATGTGCAAGGTTTTTGATCAAAAGGAAGAACAGACTAGCAAAACCAGCTCTAGTTCATTTCTATACCAGCTAATCTTTCAATTATCTCTTTTGATTCTCAAGCCAGAAAAGAAATTTTTTACATGTACCGTGTTTCCGTGCTACACTTGTTTTAATTATGTCAATTTGCTCTGGGTCTGCTCCGAGATTTGTTCAAAGGCTTCAGGTTGGAAAAACTTCTTTTTCCTATAATTTGTGGATATTTAATCTGAATATTAGTTTGGCTCCTTCAGTGCTAGACATATTTGTAAGTTTATATACACCCAATGATAAAAAATTAGCCCAAAATTGATATGATGGTACAATATTTTTATTTGACACAAAACAATATTTTATGGTTCATAGTGTTTATAAAGGCTCCATTAATATTTGTATATTTTAAAGGTACAATATTCAGTATGGGGACAGTGCTAATGTTGAATTGAAATTTCGAACACCTGGGTACAAAAAAGCTACAGTATAATTTTAATGTTCATAAATCAGTGTATTTTGATTTAAAACTTATCTCGAATTCTACGGAATTAAAATTGAAAAAAAAATTTGTGACATTACTTATAAGTACATTGTAATATATTTTATCAGTAGATGTTTTGATTACAAAAATCATTTACAAACTTTCAAATCTTCAAAAATCAAGTGTATTGATTTAAAAGATATCCTGAATTCTCTAAAAATAAACTTGAAAATAAACGAAGCAATTGAATTTATTTTGATTGAAGTGATAAACCTGATTGAGTTACATGTATAGGAAGTGTTAGGAGAATATATGTTTTGGGTTCAGTAAGAAAAGAACACATGTTTATCTTGGAAAACTATACAGATGTAATCAAGGAAAAAGTAGATTTTTGGGTTCAAATAAATAGATGAAACACTTTTTTAAAACATGGAAAATAGAAATCACTTTTTAAAAAATTTTTGTAAAAAGAGGTGTATTTCATTTAATGTATCCACTATGGAAAAAAAAATAAAATGAATAAATAGTGAATATTTTTAGGAAAAGGGGGAGGGGACTATCATTTCAAATTTTTAGCTATTGTGAAACATTTAATAATGGAAAGCAAGAAGTTGGAATGGGTAGAGGCAAGAGGAAATGAATCTATGTGTTGACTTCCTTCATGAAGAAAAGAATACCAATGAATCTGTTTAATGTTTGCAACAGACTTCCCACAAAATAAATTCCAATTTGCAAACACATGCTTCACTTGGTATATTTCATGGATACCCCTTCTTCAAGATGTGTTTAATTTTTAGTTTTTTTGGGGTTTTTTTTTTTACTCTCACTTGCTTAGAAACTTTTCTTGTTGACTGTTGCCTCTCTTGTTGGTTTGCATCTCTTTCAAACATTTTTGGACTATATCATCTTTTTACACTTCAAGGAAGTTTTTTTTTTCTTGATGTGTGGAATGTTTCTCTAAGAATTAATTTTTTTTTGCTCCAGCCACCTTTATCTAGGGTTCAAATTAGACAGGCCTTTGAGTAACCCTTCAAAGTTTACGTTTTTGGCGTTTTCTGTGTGATATTTGTTTACATATTGTATACACATCATGTTTTTACATTTTCTCTCTTATTTTTTTTTTCAGTGTTTAGCGAGTGATTGAGGCAGCATTCTTTGTTTTTACCAATGATTGGGCTTTGTGACAGAAGGATGTGGCGTGTCTACTGAAGCTGCCAGTATGAAATCTGTCATAGCTATGATTCTGGTCTCTTCTTGTCTGGGTAAGTTTGTCTTTGAAACTTAAAAAATGAGTCAATACACAAAGGAGAGATCACACGAATTCACAAAAGTTAAAAATCCTTTCCCAGTACCTCTGCCCCATGTACGAACATAAACAAAATAATAGGCTGCCAGGTATGAAGTTATATATGTACTCTCTATTTCGTTTATAGTATACATTGCAAACAAAACAAAAAACAAAACAAAAAAAAAACCAATTAATACGCATTAAAGAGTTGAGAAAAATAAAGATAAGAAAGTAGTATATTTATAACATTAAATATAATTAATACAATAAAACTGTCCTATCACTTCTGTTGCTTGGCCAATGTTTTTATTATAGTATGCGGCACAGAGAGTGAATTAAGATGCGTTTATTGTCTGTATTAATAACAATAATTCCTACTGCATATTACACCCATATAGTTCACATAACACATATATTTAAAAGTTCAGCTGCACTTTTCTAAAGATTCAGGTGTGATGCAAGGTAGAAAAAAACCAGAATGTACTCAAAACCATTCACATGTATCGGTACTTAATCCCCAACAGCAGTGCAAAAATTTCAATAAATTCAGTACACATAATTCAAGAGCATTAAGAAAAGTATCTGAAGATTATTTTTAGAAAATATTTGTTTTACTGTTTTTGAGTGTGTGTAATCTCATTTTATTTTCTTAGGGAGGGGGGTGCACAATAATTTTTTAAAAGGTTGATTTTCATAATGTTTAAGTATTGAAAATATAAGAAACTCTTGATATAAATGATGCTCGATGATTAAAATCTGAATTTTAGCATAGGGTATTCACAGGTTTATTAATAAAGAAAATGAAATCATTTAAATTTATGAAGTTCGTCCCAATTAACAAAAACCAGGTCATGCCCAAAATTATTCTATGTATTGTAGAGCATTTGAATCTCCATGAACTACTGTAGAAAAGAATAGGGCGTTCAGCTTAGTTATGTAAAACAATCTGGCAAATCAAATGAAGGCATCATATAATAATGATGATAACATGTACTGTCTAGAAATCTCACTAAAAGTAAAAACTAGTCATTAAAGTCAGTAGAGAAGAAGAGAAACACTATATCATTTCCAATGTCAGACTATCCTCATGTCAGCTATGCCAAGGTGTTCAGAATGTCAGAACATGCAGCCATTATCACAGGAGGAAAAAACAATCAAACATAATCATCATGATATATGCATCTTGTCTTGTGTTTATGGCCAATGCTAGGGCCCTGAATAAAGGAAATTGTGTATGATTTGGTCTCATACACTGTCTGATTCATGAAATTTTCAGAGAGAATGTTGTCGTTCAAAATGTTGAAAGTTCCAGATAGTGGGGGGAGGGGGTGTACTATTCGTAAGTTTATCCACTTCACAAAACTTAAAACCTTTCGTTTATTTACCTTCAGATCTTTTGAATTAAATTTTTATATTAGCTGCCTTAAGTTAATTGTCAAGTCTAAGTGGAATTTTAACTTAGTGATTTGTTCATAAAATTCAGCATTTAATTTTGCAAGAAGTAATTTTAGTGAATTTATGATATCTATTCTTTAATTTAGAATAAAGTTAGCAATAGTAATAGTTAGTGATCGCAACACCCTTGCTAAAAATGCCAATATTGAATCATCGGTAAAAATTCTGCTTGTAGGGTATTTGATTTTATAAGGTCAAATTTGTAATCCAAAGTCAAGTAGGACTATTTTTTTTCATAAACAGCCATAACTCACATATTAAAGCTCCATGCTTGGAATTTTTCAAAAAAAGGCACAGAGATTTATGGTGTTAATGTTCTTTAAAATTGAAGCCATAATTCATTATGCAATCTGACTCATTAATATTAGTCAGTATAAATTTCCACTCATTTATCTTTGAAAAAAAGAATTCTCTATAGGATTTTTCTCTTCTCTCACAAAAAATTCTCTCATTTTCTGCCTTTGAAAAATTATTCCTTCCTTCGACTAGTGTCATTGGTAAGAAAAGAACTCTTTTAAACATTGCCCAGTAATTTGGATATTTAAACTCAATCATGATAATTCTGAATTCAGTTTAATTGTATTTTTTGCATAGAAATGACTTTTAATTCGTTGTTGGCATTGAATTCATTGGTGTGACCGTCGGCTGTGAAGTTTGACTTCGCCAGGGCTAGGTACCTTTTCGGTACATTGGTCACAGGAATCAAGTTTCTGACACAAGGATATGCAGATTGATTTGGTTGATAGTGTTAATTTACGAGATTTTTATGCGGCTCTCGTTTTTTTGTCATAGTTTTCTCTCCATATGAGCACACTATTTTCCCTCTCCCATTTAACAACATATTGACATTTATGCCTCTGGTCAGTTTTTCTACGTAAGTCAAAATTCTCACGAAACTAATGCAGATCACAAAAGCCTCATTTTCAGTGAGCATCCTCTGTATTATTGCATAATTTGAAAATGATTGCTTGATCTTAAGTATACAAAAAAGATTGATAAAATTGTTGTTCAAAGCTGCAAATAGACTGCTGATGAAAAGAGTTTTCAATACTGTTTTCAAGTCTCTTCACGTTGCGTGACCTGCAAAGGCTCGTATTTTGAGAAGCGGAAGTGTAAGTTTCCATTATAAAAGTTTACGTTTTTGTGTAGAATTCATTTTATTGGGAACATCTGTTAAAGGTGACACAACTTCACGTACATTTCAAAGAATGGATATGACTCACTCAAGGGAAGCTAATTTCAGCCCAATCTATAAGAACCCATTTAAAGAAATTCCGTAAAGTGTCAGGCAAAATAGTGCAAAATTAAGATGTATTGTTTAGTCTGTTTATATTGCATGATTATAAAGATAGAATGTTTGTTTTTCTTTCTCTTCAAATTTCTATGAAGGTAATGTCAAAGGAAAGCCTTTTATTCTTGGTTTAGGACAATTCACAGCTCTGTATCACTTTGAACTAGCTTACAGCTTTCAATCTTTTAATGCAATATTTCAGGATTCTATACCTTATTGTACTTGAAAACTTTTCAATTAACGATATGTTGTTTACTTTTTGAAGAAGTTTGCATTGCTCAAAGATTGCACTGCTCAAAGTTATTTCCCTTGATTTTCTGTGAATTTAATATTCTTAGCATTTTATCATTTTTAAAATGCTGTAATTTTTATATGAAGTTTTTTAAAAGATATTTAATCAATACTTTCTCCGGATTCCACCCCCCCAAAAAATGGAGTTTCTGTGAACTAGCTTACTATTCTTGGCATTTTACGATTCTTTAAAATGATGACATTTTTATCATATGAAAAGCTATTTCATATGATACTTTCTTCTGATTCAAAAATTTCTAATAGGAAAATCAGAGTAATCAAAAAACGAAAAAAAATCACTGTCATCTGTTGGTCAGATCATGTGCACAACAAGGTCATAAACCAGAGTGTGGTGAGACCTCATTCATAATCCCCCCAATGATCTGTGTATCTCAGACTCAACATATGTCGCAATGGAATGGTTGACAGGGAGCAGCCAGTTATTTATAGGAGAAGCTAATTTATGGTGATGTTAATCAACAAGGCATTATGATTTACAGCTAATAAAGAATAGCTGAGACAAGCCGGCCAGTGTTAAGTTCTGGGGCCGGCTAGTCAGTACCATGACAGGGTGATGGTAGTGACATATGGATGTGTATTGGTGACACTCAAGCCAGGACTGAACTGACAAGACTCTCTGTATAGGGATGCCAACCATTCAAAAATATAAAAACAAAATAAGACAAGCATGTAGGAAAATAGGTGTACAATGTATAGATTTTTATTTTTTTCTAAACGAGTTGTACTGAAAGCAGGAAACGTTGAACTCTTTGTTCGGGGAAGCGAGTTTTAGGGAGAAAAAAAATGTATTTTCTATCTACCCCCCTCTTCCATTGTGGAAAAAGAAGCAAAATCTTTTCAGTATAGATAGTGAAGTATCAAAACAAACAGCAGTTTCAAAATGCAACCTGCAGGTTGTTATTTTTTTTGGAGTGTCAGTCCCTCTTAAAAAAACATTTAAAAAATATCAGAATTCAGCAGATCAAAGAAGATAATATTTACATTGTTTGTGGCACTTATCAGATAGTTAATTAACACCCAGAGGGAATACCCAACCAACTACTGAACCATTGAACAGGGAGCCTAGACAGGAAGATCGGATAGGCAGGGACAATGGAACCCTTCACCCAATCTATAACTCGCCTATTCTGTCAGGTTTCACAAACATTTTTCAAAACACCTCAGGTGAATGGACGAGGACCATTTACCTTGATTTATATCCAACAGTCGTACTTATCATGGGAAGACACTGAAAAGCCCAAGATTGAAACTGGAGGAAAAAAGCCCAGCATTTTTCACACTGGTCAGAAAATTCCACAGCTCCGAAAAAATTGTTTTTGTTGACTATTTTGGTTCATACACTGGGTCGTGCGGACTGAAAATGCCTACCCCCTAAAAGGTGATGACAGTATAATGAAATGTCACTCATTTGCAATTATTTTACATTTGACTCTGAAAAATGCATGGATTATGAACTTGTTTAGCATATGGCATTAAAAGTTTTATTACCATGTGGGTATACTGGGGAAAAAAATTAGAAACTAATTTAAACTTATCTAGGCAAGAATGCTCGGTGTAATTGGAATTTGAATTATAACCGCAAGTGGTGAATATTGGTGTAGTGCAGAAAATGTTATACATTTTGATACTTTGGAAATTGAGAAAAAAATAGTTTTATCATGAGCTTTTAGATATGGCTATATAATGACAACATGGTGGAAAAGCAAAAAACTAATTTATTCTTTAAAATTAATTTTGGCCTAGCTCATGTTCTCTTTGAGAGAATTTTCTTTAGCAATTGCAAATCAGCATTGTTTTTACTCATATGAATAATATTCTGAATATGTTTTATTTGTTTAGCGAAGTAAGCAAAGGAAATATGAACAAAAAAACTCCCTATGTCACCAAAATTTTATGAGCGACATTACGCAGTCTAAAATTATTGGTGTATTATGAATTTACGACATGTTTCATATAGCAGCATATACCCGATTTCAGCAGATAAGATCCTTGCACTCCAATTTTGGGCATTTTGCTCAAGTGTGGTCCGCATTTAAAATCTGGATTCTTAATTTTACGAGGAACCTTCACACCCGCTCCACAATGGCGCTGTATCCCTACACCCCATAAAAAAAGTCATAAAACCAATTGCTTACTGCTGTGTTGATGTAAGCATAGACACACAGAAAAAAGGCCTTTGGAGTGCCGCAAACATTAACACTGTATATACAATAAAAAACATGTTGAGGAACTTGAAATTTTATTGTATTTTTATTTTTTTTCCCGTTGGAACAATATTTAGATTCTTTCGTTGGAGGGAAAAGTAAAAGAAGAGATTACTATGGAAACAAGAGAATTTTTTTTTTAAACTTTCCATATTTTTTTTTGGCTCCCTTTGCCGACCCCCTAATTTTCATCTAAAACTGATTCTCAATTTCTTATCTTCATAGTGTACAAATATTTTGTGCATTTTCCAATTAACTTAATCACCCCATCCTGCAGCGTTAGCAGCCATTAACAGTATTAAAAAGACATCCCTTGGTTTGGAACTGGATGTTCCTTCCTCTTAGCTTCAGCCATTAGGCAGACATTAACCCTCTACAAACACATTACCCTTCAAGATTTTAAGGAAAAATCTCTCTTTCTTGGCCATCAGCTGTTGAGAGTATTAAGATAAATCTATTTTAGAGAAATTTAGGAAATATGTCTATGGGGAGTATATTGATAGGTCACTGCTAATATAACAAGAGAAATTGGTATGAAGTTTCTTTTTTGCCAAATTCTTTGGGCTAATATGGCAAACAAGTTACTTCAGTGATGTTCACAGCAGTCATCTGGTTGATGGTGGAACCCTGGGAAACAGTCCATATAGATCACATTCTTGATCCTGCATTAGTTCTTTGTCAATATTCAAACTCAAATTTATCCAGTTGTTGTGATTGGGGTAGACAACAATTTGTTGATACATCGAAGAAAATTGAAAATGATATATTCAACTTTTTCACTTTGTACAGACAATAAATATCGATTTCAAAAGTTTTGCAAGAACATCTGAAGTGTGACAGATGAAGTCTTAACAATTCAAAATCTTCTTTTTGTAAAATGTATCAAAGCTTAAAAGTGAAGCACTCTTCCTAAGGAGGCATTTAGAGAAAACCTTTTCATGGCAACCTGTATTGTTAGTAGCCATTTCTTCCTTTGAGTAGAGTGTCACACTGACCAAGGGATAACTGAAGATTAGACTCCCAATGTACATTTAATGGCTATTGTGCCCCTTGCTGAGGGAGGATTAACCATACCTGCCTCTCAAAAAGCAGAAACTGCAGAAATTGCAACCTTTTGTATCGCAAATGTTGCTTTTCAGAAACACTGGTCAAGTACACTGAGATAATGACAGCTACACCTTTAGTGGTCAGAAAGGTGAACTGTGAACTCAAGGAGAAATGTCAAGTTTGATGCTTGAGCATCGTTTTCTGACTATTAATAACATTTAGGTAATTAATTGATTTTGAGAAAGTAGTTCAAAGTACATTCAATTTCTGGCAGATGATTTTACTTTTGCGATCCCAAAAATTTTAATTGAGATTAATCTGCAATATGTTTTATCCTTATGGCAAACAAGATTAGGTGTTCAAATTAAAACACATGGTGAATAGGTTTTTTCTGGGATTTTTTTATGCAATTAGTAAAGACAGATGATTCTTTCTGTAAAAATCTGTAAAAGTCAGTGCTCTCCTGGTTTTGACATTTCAAATCCACCACTAGATGGCACTATATGTCAGTGGATCTTGACACTTGCTTTAATTCACTTTACCAAGTTTAGGCTTTAAACTTGATGAACATGCATTTATATCTCACCATTGCTCTAATCTCAAGATTTGATGAGACAAGTATTTCTAGTCTATAAACAAAGCTATAGCACATCAAATTTTTTTTTTTTCACTTAATTTTTTAACAAGTTATGCAATAGACATTTAGATAAACATACATAAGCATAAATAAAATGAAAGCTTTGAAAGAAAATGGTGCGCTCTGAATGAAAAATAAAGCAACAATAAAATGTGTCTAAGACATTTGTAGATTTTTCTGTAATTTCATTTAGCATATTTTGCCATTTGATCAATCTATAAAGATAATATATTTGTATACATGCAATTTTTTTTATTTATTTTTTTTTTATGGAAATTTTGTGTATTTTATGTATATCAGGTGTAGTAATGTCATTTGTAAATGTCTATTTATAGGAATGGTCCCTCAATTTTTGGAAGAGCCTGAGTCAATGGCAGTGGCCCCTCAGTCCTCAGTGACACTACCCTGCAAAGTAAGGGACCCACAAAGTACCGTGGTGCGGTGGAAGTTCAATGGAGACTTTGTCAAAGAGAACGATGCTAGGAAATTCCAAATGAATGGAACAAATTTATATATACAAAAGTTCAGGCATAGACGGAAAGCAGAATCCAACGAAGGGATTTACGAGTGTATAGCCACAAATGAAGCAGGGTCTTTGGCCAGTAAACCAGCGAGACTCTCCAAAGCAGGTATATATACATAACAGAGTCCCAAATTAAAAATCTATCTATACTACAGTATATAAGTATAGGTGTAGAAGTTAGGTTCTAGGTTTAGGAAGGTGTTTTGTATGCCACTAGGAATAAACAGAGAATCTGTGTTTGTAGAGCAAACAGATGCAAGGGATTTGCATGAAGTACAAACTCTGTGTACTGTGTGAGTTTATGTGATCGTAATATAATGGCAAATGATGGGGTGACTACTTCATTTACATAGTAATAATATAAAAATACTGTAGAATATATTGGCTTGGCATGATTTTGAAAAATATTTGAAATTTTTTCAGTAATGATTAAGAATTAAATAAAATATTCACGACAATGTAAATCTGCAATTTTAGAGATTTAAAATTTTAAAGCAAATAAAGTCTCAGAAATTAGATTAAGAGAATCTTTCTCTTTGACACCTCTGCACTTAAACTTTTTTGTTTTTGATTAGTTACTTGTACTTTTAAAAGTATAATAAAGTAGATTTATTTCTGGTAGCCTGACTGCATATTTATTTAATTTTTGACAATTTAAACTTAATATCTAGCTATTCTGAGACACGGAAAAAAATAAGAGCAATGGCTTTCTTAATGAGAGGTGGAAATAAAATATAGAAGCATTTAAACAGCTGCACTTAGCATGTTGTCAAGACTCAAGACATGCAGATATCTTTACAAAGATACCTTTGACTTAGATAGACAATTAACAATACATTCAATGATATGTGTTAGCATGCAACTGTGCATGTCAGGCAACTAATTCTGTATGAATATCAGGTACCGATTTCAGGCGTCTTCTGATAAAAATTAGGGATGCATGCATACCTTGTCTGCTTTTGTCACAAGTCCGATGAAAAAAATATCTTTCATCTGTTCATGTAAATGATATTTTCCTCCATTTTTTTTTTTAATTTGAGTCATTTAAAGATTATTTATGACCTGAAAAATGGATCTTAAGAGCCATTAAAATTCTGCACATTTTGACCAGTATAATGCAGGTATGATTTCAACTCTTAGATCATAGCAAAAGTGACAAGGAACATTTTTTTGCATCTGATTGCACAATGACACATGAATATATAGAACCTTTAATTTGATCCCAAATTCTGATGGGATTTCGTAGGGCCTATCATAAATAATTTTGACATCCATACAGATTTTCAGTCTTGTGGCAATTAAGATGGCTATCTAAGGAGTGGATATTTTTTTGAAGTATCTTAAAATCATTTCTTTGTTTACAAGCTTCAAACGAAGAGAGCGAGGCGTCATCTTTCAGAGACACCAAGTCATACTCCTCACGATTTTTCTAGAAATCTGATGGAAAACAATCGAAATGAAATAGTGGAAACATTTTGAAACTTGTTGATGTTAACATTTTCCCGATATATCACATTTAAAATTATTTTATTGTAGTGCTTTTCATAATAGAAGTGTTTTTAAAAAGCAAGATCATAAAAATGCATGATATAAATTCTCTCTCGCGTAATTATGCACATTTTTATTTAGCGAAAAGTGCAGTGTTAAGGAATTTTTAAGTAGTGCAGAATTTTTGTGAGGTTAGGAAAGGATGATGGAATTAGAGCAGAGAATCCTACTCTGAATATTCTGTTTTGTCAAAATTGGAAAGGAAAAGACGTTGAGATTTTTCTGATTTATATAAATCGTGATAAATTTTTCCCCCTTTGAGCCCCAGTAAAAAGATAATAACTGTTGGTTTAGAAGACTGATATGGTTTTTGGTGTATACACAACTGTCAGGTCGACATGGCAGTTGTATATTTTATAACACTAAAAGTGTGGGGACCTAGGATATAAAGGTTCTGCTCGTTACCGGGGCGATTAGGTGATTATCTAATAGATTAGTGGCTAAACTTCAATAGAAAAACTAGTAGACTAATTGTTCACTGAACAATTAATGGTCTTTCCACCTTTCTTTTAAGTTTTCATGTCATTTGAATTAAAAAGGAATAAAAAAATAAATAAAAAAAAAAAAAAAATTAATAAGTGCTGCCAGCAGGATTCGAACTGTGGACCCTCACTTTGCCAGGCGAGCGCTCTTAGACCACAGGCTCCGATGACATTGTTTTCCGTAAACTAAGAGTGAAGAAGAAAGAAGAAATGAAAGCACGTGGATTTAAATAAAAATAGTACAGAAACACGTGTATTTATTTGTTTGTTATGGAACATAGAGAGGAATAATGAATAGTTTCGAGAAAAACGATTGGTGGATAATGAAAATAGAGATTTCCTGTACAAAAAAAAAAATTGAGTTTGTTTATAGTTTGAATAGATTGAGTTAATCATACAGAGCTTATGATACATTCAAACTTCCGTGTCAGCACTGTGTTTACAACTTGTGAAAATATAGGCGCGTTCGTTTTGACAGAAATGGCGAACTAATAGGTTAGATTAAATAATCATCTCTATTTGCATTGAATTCATAGTTATGAGCATAAATTAAACTTGAAACATGCATTTCATGAAGAAGACGGTGTCACGGAGAGCGTGCAAATTTCTTTTATATGAAAAATCGCTATTTCCGAGTTTCAGCCGATTCATATTTAAATCTAAATAAAATTAAAATAAATTCCATACACTTAAGAAAGCAAGAATACTTGATATTAAAATGTCGTAATAGAGCAGGAGAATCGAATGATATTAACAATAATTGCAGAAATAGCCAATGCGAGCTTTAAACAATTTTTATGCTCAGCAGTAACTTAATTTCAGACAGGAAAAAATTGCAGATTTTCCCGATATTCACTAGAATTTCATTGTCCTTTAGAAACTCACCTTAAAACTCTCAGGACATTTTCTTTCAGGTCTCTTCTTCCTTTTATTAATGTCGATATTTCGTTTCGTTTGACTTGTAGACATTTTCTCTAAGTTGGTGTTGATTTTATTATTTTTTTTTACAAGGGGGGGGGTTATTTTATAAGCATTTGTTAGAGTGATGGTTGCAAATAACTCCACGACCTTTAGCTTGATTGTGGCCTTTAAGTCAATGGGGTCAAAAATCAAGGTCATTTATCAAGGTAAAAGGTCAAGGTCATCAAAAAAAAGAGAGAGAGAGTTAAACTTGAGATTTACACTTGAAGCTGAATCTAGATAAAGGTAATGAATATTTCTTTATTACCTTTTGAGTAAGGGTCAAGGTCAGAGGTCAAGGTCAATGTCAAATTTCAAGGTCAAAGTTCAAGGTCATTTGGATTTTAAGCTTAAATTGACCATTTCTCTAGTTTTCCAATGACCTTGACCTTTGACCTTGACCTTTTTTTCAAGGTCAAAGGTCATAAGATCTCATGCACTTGGTCCCATATCTTTACCACTTGTCCTTTAAAAGTTTTTAATTTTTCTTGTCAGCTTTAAGACTTTCAGGGGCAATAACTCATTGAAGGGGTCACCGAATACTTTTGCAATGAATAGATTGAAGAGTCCCCTTAATTAGTCGAAGACATTCGTAAAGGTTTCATACCTCTGCGGTTTATGGTTTCTGAGGAGTAGCGATAACAAGTATTTTTTGCGAAAGGGGCAATAACTTCGAAAGCGGTCAAGGTTCATTTACGCAGGGTCAACTGCAAACATCTTTTACGGAGTACATTCCTATGAACTATAAATCTTTTCGATATATCTTCAAACAAAAAAACATGCGGCGGAAAAATAATAAAAAAAAAAGAATAATAATAAACAGAAGAATATCAATAGGTCTTTCCACAGAAAGGTGGAAAGACCTAATAAACACTTGATAGAGTTGTATACAGACGAGAGAGGCTTTATCGGGCTTCGCCACTTTTTTGAATTACCTGTATTGGAGAAGCGTACCAGAGAGTGTTTTTTTCAATGAAAATGTTTTACTTCTTGTTGCTCCTGCGGTTTTGTAGATAAGATTCGATAAAAAGAAAAATGCTGTTTGTTGGGCTGATGGCAGTTGACATGATTTATGAGATGTCCTGCATATCTGTGGATTTTTTTCCTTCAAAAAAGCATATGTAAAAAATAAAAAAATTTTACACAAAGTTTCGGAGAACCAGTGACCAGCATTTCTTCAGTAGCCATAGCCAAACCAAAAAATCCAACAAAAAAAAAAAGGGAAAAAATTCAACAGGGATGAATATCATTAATGTCAAGCATAATGTCTGAGGGAAAATATACTAGGTGATAAAAAGATGTTCTTGCCCCGGAAAAAAAGTTGATAGAATAAAAATGGCATTCTTTTATGATTGTTATTAGTTGCCATAGTGGCGATACTATGGAATCTAATCTTAATAAATTGATGTGAAGTGAGATTATGTGACAGAATACAGCATTTTAATTATCATCGCTGACATTGTAATAAAGAGAATTTCTGCAAGGTTACATTTGCATTTGCCAGTGTAATGGTGACTGATAGTTATAAAATTCCATGCCCCATGTAAAATTACTTCGTCTTATTTTTATTATTTTTTTTAAGAATGAAAATAGCACCTTGTTTTATGCAAGTTTGTAATTCATTCATATTTTAATATGCATGGTTTCAAGGTGAGGTGAATTCTTTTATTAAATGAGCATTTTTTTAAAATTACTAAATTAAATGTGTACAAAAATAGACAAAATTTCTTCTTTTTGTATTGGTCTCAAATATTTTTAATACAGGTGCTACTGATTTTGTATAAAATAATTTTTGTGAAGGAGATGAAATTTATGAAAGAATAATTTAAATATGTATTTTAACATTCATAAGACAAGTGTTAGTGAAAGATTGTCAAATAACTTAGTTAAAGGAATGAAAATTCTAATAAACAAAAATAAAGCAACTGGATAAAATGTTAGTTAGTATTGGATAGCAAGATGTTCATAAATAATAACTTCTTGAAACCCAAGTTTCTGCACCAATTTAAATTACATCTAAATTAAAATTATGGAGAAAAATTGAGACTAGATGATATCAAGAGAAATCATAATGTCCATTTACAGAAGTCAAGATTTTTTGTATGAAATATACTTTTATATAATTATTAAAAGTAGTATTAAACAACATTATCATGATGTACATGTACTGGTATGTATTGTCACATACATTGTATTATGCTTAGATTATTTACATTCCTACCCCCTGTCACATACATTGTATTATGCTTAGATTATTTACCTCCCTACCCCCTTTCCCAGTGAAATTTTAGAGAAAAAATGTACTCAAAAAACCCCTTTTTTCAGACAACTTTTCTGTTGCAGATTCCCCTAAGGAATTCCATCTTAATTGATTTCTAAATTTGCCTAATTTGAGGCAGATCAATGGTTCTTACTGCCGTGATTTTCAAAGCAGCTCTCTTACTGTACATATGTAATTATCCAGTCTCTTTATATTTATCAGGGAAAAAGCGTAGATAAAGTACAACATGAAACCTAAATTACCGGCTCTGAAGTTTGATTTTTATGAACATTATTTTTATAACCCAGTGTTATATCAGAAACAGTTTTCTTTCATGTCTGAAATCAGTTCGAAAAATGCTGGTCAGATAAAAACTGTTATCAAATTAGTTTTTGACTGTTGAAAAAAGTCAAAGATAAGGTCGATTAGCATACAAAAAAATGACAGACATATTGGAAAACATTGTTTGATGTTATGATGTTATTCTTGAGCATTTTTTATTTTGTATGTTGTATGTAAATGTTCTGAGACAATTAACATTGGGAAAGGAGAGGAGGGGGGTTCTAGTTTCATTGCTAAAGCTGTATATGCATGTGTTTCAAAGATGATATTTTGTAGAAAATGATTTATATGCATCCCGTTTTGTTTAATTCAGTAGAAAAATATAAAGCAAATTATATTTTTTCAGCGTTGAAGCCTTTCAAACCTCGGGAGGATCTTCGCCTGACCGTTAGGGAGGGACTTAACATCAATCTGCCCTGTGTACCCCCAGCAAGTAACCCTCCAGCCAATATCTTGTTCTCCAAAAACGGGTCTACTATCATCTCAGGAAAATCAAGTAAGTATATTCTAATATGGTAAAAATAAAATATTGTCCCCGTATCACTCTAAATGTTTGGGCAATATTGTAATACATGCTTTCGGACTGTGCATATATTGAGTAGGTAACCATACTTTTGGTTTGGTGTCGTCGGCTAATGACCCAAACTTTCCACTGGCTATAAAAGATTTTTTGAAAGACCTTTTTTTTTAACTTTAAGAGATTATGGCATAGCTAAAGACTCTATCTACCTGTATAGAAACCTATTGACTTCAATGATTAAGAGGCCTTTGACTGAATTTCCTTTTTTTTTTTCCCAATGTTCTCTATTTTTCACATGGAACAATCCAGATACACTTTGAGCCTTCCCTTTCGCTGCATGCAGTCTCACTGAGAATGCAAAACAGCATCTTTGTTACATTCTCCGACATTTCTGCTGAAATAGGAAAAATTGGGTGAGTGGAATCCACAGCAGGAGCAGTGATTCCGGATCAAAAAGTTTCAAAAAATTCAAAAGGATTTTTCCCCATTCTTTTTGTGGATTGTGAAAGATTGACTGACATGATTTTGAAAGCACATGGCTGGTATGGATCGAGACAAATGTAGAATTTCGTCCATGATTTTTGGAAAGTTTTGAAATCTTACAGTTTTAGACATTGTATTCAAAACCGAAATTTTAGAAAAAAAATAAGATTTTGTAATCTTTACCTTCAGTCTATTTTAAGACAATGAGAAATTGGTAAATTGATGGTTATGATTTAGATTGAGCATGTTTTTGTAAGAATGAGGAGAAAACATTGAGAAGCGGATCAATTATAACTTGTTTTTTAAGGCCATAAGTCAAATCAGGTTCACCCAAAGCTGTCACAGGCTGAATAAAGGATATGTTTTGGTTTTCTGTGTGTTAAGAACCTTAGGGGACATAAATCAACTTCTGCTATGCCAGTCATAACTTTATCTCTCCTCACCAGTATAGAATGTACTAATTGACAGGAAGACAGATTTTCTGGTCCTTCATTTTTTGGGGGCATCAATTTCTATACAGTCCCTCATGTTAAAAATAGTAACCATATTCCTAAATGTTATCAATTCTCTACATGCATTTTTATTGGAAATGTCCATGTCTTGTAGACATGTCTGTACTAAAATGACTTAATTAGTTGAATAGAGAACACTTTGTTTCTGTACTCTTAGTTTTTCAAAGAAATGAAAAGTGTACCATGGTAATAGGAAAACTATGTCTGACAAATTATGGAGTATAAGCCTCTAATTAACAATTACAACACTTGCTTTCTAACATTTTAAAAACTTCCATGTTCAAGCTTAACTCAAGAAGTTCTCTGATTTCTACCCATGTGTAAAATCTTGAACAGTTGCTTTCCCCTAGTGTCAAAGCAGTTAAAAGCAATAGATAGAATAACAGGTACAGAGCCCCTCATTTCTCGGAGATTGGCTGCAGCTTAAGAGGGAAAAAACAGTCAGAAGTCTGCTGGAGTAATGAATTAGTTGCTGGGGTAGAAGTGGATATAAATCTGTTCTTTCAAGACTTTTTTGTGGTCCCGACGTGAAATGGATGGTGGTGCTTTTATAATTGAAGAGCACCCCTGCACAGGCCTTGCCCATTAGCCTAGATAAGCTGGTACAAGATGTATTTTCTGTTCTGCTATTTTGCCAGAGAAACGTTATATATCTTAATTTTAATAATCGGTAACAGATACTATGCAAGGTACAATGTGTTTTAAGTTGGAGATATGCAGGTGTTGGGGGATTGTTTTATACACTAATGAAGGTTTACTCACTCACTTCTGAAGCAGGTCTCATGTTAAATAATCAAGACATTTTTTTTTTGTCCTTTCATTTGTTGTCTGTTAAAGATACAAAGACAGAAACATAGCAGTAGCATTTGACTGTATGCACTTATATATTGATGTGGGAATAAATTCCTTAGTTTTGATGATAGATATTGGTAAGGATATGGCAACACAGACAGACATATGGTTTAAAATTTAAGAGAAATCAAGATGCAGATAGGTGATTTGGGCGTAGTGGTACATAATGAAGAATTTTGCCACTTTCTTTAGATTTTGGATGTTGTACATGTTTTAGAATAGAAGATGAGTCTGAGTTCTTGTTTTGCAAAACTTTTATCATGCCATCTGGATTCAGATGTTTCTTTCAAAATGGTAGGGTAGCAAAATAGTTATCAGGATCCAATGCTTTAGTTCAGAGGCAGAGTCCACATTAATCATCTGTTTATCTGATACCTGTGATGAAAGACACAACAGTTGTTGTGGTTGGTCAATTGAGAGATAACCTTGGCAACAAAGAAAACTCAAGAAGATGAAATCAGGATGCAGCTCAATTAGAAAATGCATCTACTGAAAGATGGCACTATCAGTCCTAGGGATTTCTAACTAGGGTAGACATTTTTTACCCAATATCCAATAAATTTTTCAGCTTATCAAGGCTAATGTGGCCAGTCATTGTAAAGGTATCTAAAAGTGAGGCTGATAAGGAACACTAAAGAGCTCCACAAAGGGGGAGAACTGAGTCCATCTGTCATTTGGTTGGTGATGGACTGTTCTTTGGTTCAGTATAGATATAGTATAGATAGATGTCTAGAGCTGACTGATCTATTGGAATAGGTCAGACTAGAGTCAAGCTGATTATAGTAAGGGTTAAGAAGATCATATATTATTTATATGAATACATTTAAAAATATTTTTTTGTGGTCTAGCTGGCCAAAACCAAGGATACAAAACTAGTAACCATGGTGATAGAATGTTTCCCCCACCAGAAATTATATATAAAAGAAGGAATTTTTATACAACATGAAAATATTTTAATAATTTAAAGAGGTTCTCTAATTTTCTACTGGTTATATCTTCTAGATTAGAGAAAAATGATCTGAAAAATATATTAAATATTTTCCCCAAGTCAAATGTTAACCATAGAAAAACAGCAAACAACTATACAATGAGTTTATTTTGATTTGTGTTGACATGCAAGTGTCCCATTTTACATGTTGTACATGATGTCAGATGAACAATGGCTTTCCATTGAATTGCACATTGTCATGTTATCCTAAACGTTTGGGCCCTGAATGTACCGATGACAAATTTCGACTTTGTGCCCCTCTTTGTCATTAGATAAAGAGGATTTTTCATACATGAATTGAACTTTTGATCATTAAAATTTTTAAAAGAAGAAAAACAGAGCACGGCTGTATTAATTTTCTCATTTACTCTTTTCTGCGTTGACTTCAATCTGATATATTAATCATTAGAAAAAATAAAATCATGTACTTTAAATAAGAACTTTTTTAATGAGATTTTTTTAGTTTTGAAATGCTACTTCACTTTTTTGAGGTTTTGTATATTGACGAAAGCAGAATTCTGACATCTGATGTTTGAGGTGCTCCATAAAAATGATTCAATATGTTTATTTGGACAGTACTCCATCACAGTTTTAAGTAAACCCATGTGCATACAATAGTTTATTTAACCACTCGAGAGGCAGATCAGGTTAAGGGGGAGATTACTGTGTAACTAAACACGGCACACTCCAGCGTGTTTACAAAAAAGCCATAATTGTCAGTTTTTGAGATGTAAGTCATATCATTGGCGGGTCATAAAATTCATACCTCAGGCAATACACAAGGTGAATGGTTGTGATTTCCCGTAAGTTTTACCATTAAATAGAGCTATAAAACTTAATATAGTCTGCTTTATTGCGATTTAAATGTCTAATTCTCCCATGAAAAGAAGTAGCAAGTTGGCTATATACACATCATTGTTTTAGATGACAATAATTTAAGGTCCTAAACTCATTGACAAATCAAAGACATGCAGGTTAATAAATTCATTTGATAAATTGTCTGTTCAAGCAGTCGGGAGAAAATTTGGTGGGAAAATAAATGAGTGTGTATACCTCGCAACAAAATTGCAGTTTACAAGTTTATCATAACAGCAAATCATAGGGGAACCAAAAACACTTAGCAGATACGAAAAAATGTGAAAAACACTTTTTGTTACAGAACTTGAGGCAGGCTGTGTAATTGGTTAATACGATGATATTTCTTTGGTAACTGCCTCAAGCGCAGTTTTTAAATATGATACATATTAAAACAGTATGCTGATAAAATTGAAGGTGCTTCTACCAAAAGGGTTGCCAAGGAGACGCATAGCTCTGACAGGAAATTCCTTATCACGTTGGCAGTTCTGCAATTTATAAAAATAATATATCTATCATTAATATCACATTATATACTTAACGGTGTAACCCAGTATCGATTAAGTCTCTGGAATATTTCAACAACAATATCAAGTAATAAAATTTCATGTTGAATTCTAGTCAAAAATGCATTTGATATGGTCTGATAACGAAAAAGAAGTAGATCAGTACAAAAACGTTAAAAAGATGATGTTTTTGATTTTGATGGCCCCTGATCTTGTTGGTTTTGGTGTTTTGATGATGTCAGAAGATTTAGATAGAGCAATTTCCCCAGCCAGTATCGGGATATAAGATATATTTTGATACAGGAGAGTCAGCTAAAATAATATTTGATTTTATTCAACTTAAAAGCTCAATGCCATCTGATAAGGAAAACACTGATGTCTTATCTTTACAGTATTTACTTTAAAGATTGAAATCTAATATATAAATATTGATGGCAGATAAAAAAGATGATTTTTAAACATGTTATTTGTCAACCTGCAAACATGGCATTTTCATGTTAAGTACTATTTACTTAAAATATTTCTGTGAAATGTGCACTTATGGAAGCTAGGGTCAAGGGTATATAAAAGGTTGGAAATTCAATTGAAAAAGGGATGGAAGATAATTTTAAAAATCAATTTTAGCTCATTATAAGCAAAATCTAAAATGAAAAATTTATCTTACGAAATGGAATAAAATCTGAATATTTTTTCTTAGCATCAAAACACATGGAATTTTATGAAGCAACTTGTTTTTGGAGAAAAATATTTTCTCAAAATTCTAGGATCTAAATGTGTAAATCTTGCTCTGCATCATGTATCATGTACAAAGTATTGTTGAATATCATCATGTTAGATACATGTACCCTATAATGTGTTAAGAAAATATGTGTAACTTGGTGTTAGTAGAAGATAGGTCAAGCAATGGTACAAATTTATAAAAACAATATCTAAGTGACAACATCTTCCTCTTCTGTCTTGTTTACAAGAATTCCTCAGATGATATTTTTGGCTTCTTTTTTCAGGGAGGTTCCAGGTCTTTGCTGATGGAAGTATGATGATTCGTAACGCCAGTCTGGGGGATGCTGGTCAATATCGGTGTGTGGCAGTCAACCCAGTGACCCTCAGGAATCGGACAGCTAACCATGTAGTTCATCTCACAGTCCTGCAATCCGCTCAGGGTAAATATTCACTCCCGCTTTGTTAATGTGTATTTACAGACTTTGTATACAAGCTTCAAATGGCTAACCGTTTGAATGGTGAGAAATGACTTCTCTGTCGAGTTCCTAGTTGATAAATTCAGGTTCAAACTGACCAGATCTTTTTGAAGGCAGGATGTAGAAATATACAGGATTTTGAAGGTGGAAACAGAAAATATGTTGAATTCTAGCACATAATTTTGTTCCCTTAAGTTATATTTCGAAGAGCGATATTTAAAATGAAATATTTTTTGCTAGAATATGAATATAAATTCATTTGAATGAAGCTCATACCAACTTAGTAGAGAAAAAAATTAGAACACTTTTACAGTATTTCTTATAGGCATTCAAAATATTTTTTTTGACCAAATTGTACTTGTAATCCTAACTTATTATGAACAAATCAATTTCTAATTGAATTATTTAATATGCTGGAATAAAAAGATTAAATTATGTATGCATAGTTTCATTTGAGTAAAACAAAATGCATTTGTCCCAAAACAGTTGCTGAATTGCAATGATAAGTCAGCATTTGAATCCTTAATTAGTTTTTTTATCAGCCATGGACAAATCGCTTTGTACCTGAATTATAATTACCTACATACCGGAATAACAAGTTTAAATTAAGTATAAATAGATTCTTTAGAGTAACACAAAAATGCATTTGTCCTGAAAAAGTTTTCAGCACAATGGAGATTCATCAGATGAAATTTTTTTTTTTGCCAATTAATTCTGAACAGACAATATGATGTGCCTTCAGAAGACATTTACAGATGTTCACAGCTACTTGGCATTTAAAGCAACACCTGGAGAACTATATGAAATTGACCTTCATAAGTTACCTAACAGCCACTTCAACGCTAAAAAGAAGTGCAAAGGGAGAGAAGCCTTTGATAAATTTTTGTGAATGAAGACTGGTATTTTTAAGAGCCCATAAAAGTCCATCTCCCAGTGTGATTATGAGGAATGGGGTTGTCCTGGTTTTTGAAAAATATGTTGATTTTTGCTTTTATGGCTTCTGGTTTTGAACACAACATGTGACATGCTTACATTTTGTACATGGAGCAGGGGAAACCAGGGAATGGTTTGAGAGTTTCCATATTGTGGAATTGTACATTTCCACATTACGAGTTTTCACACCTGTAGTCTTGCATGAAAAGTTCATAAATATTTATGCGTGCCTTCATAATGAAGTTTTTTGGGGCTGTAAACAGCAATTCGTTTTAGTCTTAACCTTACTGTTGATAAGTAGGCTTTTATAAAGTGTAGGGTGTTTAATTCATGTCACAATATGAAAAAGAAATTTAACTTTAATTTGGCACTTTTAGCAGTAGGAGTAGGTATGGGTCAAGTTTCTAAAAGCAGGGATGAAGGGGTGGGGTGTCTTGTTTATGTGTATGTAAGCAATGTAAAATAAATGTGCAAATATCCATGTTTCCTGGTGTTGCAACATATGTATGTAAAGAATGATAATTAATACTGATGATGGAGGAAAGAGAAGAAAATTTGTGATATGTTTTCACTTACGGCATAGAATGCGGCTTCCTGCAGATAACTAGTTGCCCTTTGCTGCGTAAAGATAAGCTTTCTTTATTACCTAATCTGCAATTTCATTAGCCAGCCAGCGGATCAGATGCTTTTTTCACCCAAAGCTAATGCTGGAAAAAAATTAATTTATTGACAAATCAGTTATTTGCCAGTCGTTGCCAATGAAAATAATATGAAGCAAAAGAAAAAAACGAGGTGGAGAAAAATATGATTGCATTATGTAGCGATCCCGATCTAAATGTTCTCTGCTTGTTGCTTTGTTGGCTCCAGCGTGATCCGTTTTCTATTTTAGATCACATTTCTGCTTCTTAATGGGTCTAGGGCACATTCTGGGAGAACAAGCTATCTCTTTGTTCCCGGGGCCTCCTACTCCAAAAGTGATTTATGAATTATTCTTTCTTTTCTATCATCAGGGAATGGGAGAAAAAACATGCAAGACACATTAAAGCGGGGTTCCCTACAGGGTGTTTTATATTTGATAGGGGGGCTAGGTTTTCTTCTTAACCAACATATTTTTGACACATTTCATTTATTACTTGAAAGGAGGGAGTGTGAGAGACAGTGTTATGAATCACTCTTAAAAAAAAAGTTGTGGTTTAGGATTTCATATAGCTTACCATGGGCCTTTATGCTGGTCTAGTTTAAATGAGTGATTGGAGCGAACTTTTCAGTATTAATTGAAAATGCTGTGCATCATTTATAAGATATAAAGTGGGGAGTTGAATTGGGTACATGGACATTTGCTGGGTGTAGGTTGGAGCAATAAGTCACCAGTTTACTTTATTAGTTCAGACTCGCAAATTCTGGAAAGGGTCATTTAAGTTGAATAACCTGTTGCAGGAAAATCAAGTTGAAAGCAGTAATTATGTTGTTGGCACAGGATAAATTGATTTAGCTTAGAAGGGAAACTTTTGATAAGTTTACAACCCAAAAGATTAGGTTTGTGAGGAAAATACTAGCTGGTTCGCACATCAACTGATGAAAGATGGATGTACTTTTTTCAGAATTAGATTTAAAGAAAAAAGGAGCCCAAATCAAATTAAGCCCAACTTTTAAAATTTATTTATTAACAAGGTAACGAGTAGAAAGATATCACTTGAAAAGAAACACCAGATGAAACAGATGCAAATTATCCGACTGACGGTTAGGAGTTCAGAGTTATGGGCCTTGGTAAGGCAGTGAATCATTTTCTTTTGAACAGAATATTTTTGTTTTATAATAAAACATGTATAACAAAGAGGTTCTTATTTTTCTTTTTTGTAATGTAGATGTTATCATCCTTCAGTACTGGTTTGATGTATCTGTACAATTCTCCCAGTAACTAGGAGACTTAGACAATAGGCGATTGCCTCGGGAGTTCAATTTTCCCATCTATCTTCAGAAGGTTGGCAGCCTTTTGCCTATTTTCCTTAGCCTTTTTAATTAAAAGTTTACCAGCCATTGCAGAAAAAAGGGGGGCCAGGGTAAGGGGGCAGGAAAATTTTCATTGTAACAAGAAGACAACATCATGCGTAGAAAGGTGTAATTTAGAAACAAGGCAGATTTTTTGAATTTTTTTTCAGATTTTTTATCGAGGCGAGACAGCTGTTTAATCCATCATGTACTACAATAAATTCTACCTGTTGACCTAAGCGGCAGTGTATGCTGCACAGATTAGGGTGTTTATATCCTCCGATGTTTAAATCTTACAAGTTTCTTTGATTTTGCCGCTACTGATCTTGTACGCTTTGTTACAAAACTGGAAAGTTAGGATAAACTGTGAACAAGAAAATTCCTAATCGTTTCTTTTTGCCTTGCTTTTCAAACACAGAGCCTTTCATTTGCAGACGTCAAAAGAATAAAGAAAGAAAAATATGGCTCAGGTGCTTGCCAATATGGGCAATACATCATCTAGTTTCCGAGATTGTTCCAACAACAGAATTTCAGAGCTTTGACAAGTGAAAATTTATTAAGATTCAAAAAAAGCAAAATGACCTTTTTTTGAGCGACATGAATCTGTGTGAACACCTGGTGTCCCCACCCTATCCTGTCAGAACCTGATAGCGTGTACTGTCACCCATTGTCCAGCCTGGTCCACACAGATTTGTCAGAAACATCCTCTTGTCTTGTCTTGTTTACCTTAAATATACATTTCCATGTCAAGAGTTTGTGGCAAGTGAATGAAGTTGGTGTGACCTGAACAGAAATGAGAGATTTATCCACATTTTGTTTGACATGAGCCCTAAGGGTTCCAATCTCTTCTCTTTAATTTGCTGGTAAAGGATTTTTGGTGCAAGGAATCTAAATAATGTTGACATTCCTATGACTTTTTTCCTGAGACAAATACCACCCTTATTTTATGCTGATGTGGTAGATGAATTAATTACCTCCCCTACAGAGCAATTGATTGCTTGAAACCTTTATATGCCAGCATCAATTGTTTTACTGAATCTGTTTTAATTAAATTGTCAGGGTGATTTGTTAGGGTAATTATTACAATTGATCAGCATCACTGTGGGGTCTTTGAAACATTGACTACAGTTAGAGAGTCGGAGGTAATTTGGCTTGTCACTCCAGTGTGGGTAATGGATGGTCACAATTTGGTGCAAGCTTCTGCCAGACCAAGAATGCTGTGATAGATGGAGGACGTCTGCAACCCGCAATTTCTCAACTTTTCTGTGAAACGCTGATGTCTTGCCAAGAGCAAGAAAGGGGAAAAAAAGTTTTCTGTAAAAAAAAAAATATTTATGACATTTCACCATGCCTTTTGAAATTTAAGCAGATACAATTGAAAATTTATGGATGAAAATCGTGCAGATAAGGCATGTTTATAGAGTCTAGATGATTAGATTTACTCTACTGCCCCCAGAGATCATTGTTACAACACATTGCAAAATCTGTTAAAGTTAGGCAGGAAAATATTACGTTACTGTATTTAACGACTTTTTTTTTTGTAGTTGAACCACTAGAGAAGCAGCCTGCCATTATTTTATCCTCTACCACCATCAAAGCTGGCAAGGGAGAAGATACAGAGTTAGAGTGTGCCGCGGATGGCTCCCCACCACCAAACATCACGTGGGACCGCTATGGTGGTCGCCTGGCTCCAGACAGACACACCGTACAAAATGGTAATCAGTGGTAGAATGGTTTTATTGAATCTGTAGTTTTAAGAATCTGAGACCCATTATAGTTTTGGAGCAGTTGCCAGGCAGCAAAATGGTGTCCAAACACACACTCCCACCTCAAAATTAAAATTGCATCCTACATGCCTGATTGTGTTCAATGTATACCCAAGCAGCTGTAAGTTATGACACATATTGTGTAGTGTCAATCTATCAAGTAGGAATGTTTACTTGACTAAATGTTGGCAGAAGCTATTGTCTGGAATGAAAGATTGATGTTATTCTATCAATTCTCAGATGTTTATGCATATACATATGTCTCAAATGTATTTATTTACATTCTCTCTCTCTCTCTCTCTCTCTCTCTCTCTCTCTCTCTCTCTCTCTCTCTCTCTCTCTCTCTCTCTCTCTCTCTCTCTCTCTCTCTCTCTCTCTCTCTCTCTCTATAGTAAGAGTCCTCAAAAAAAGTTTGAAAATGTTTTTGATGATAATGTGTTGTAAAAATATGCTGAAATATTCAGGAAAAAGAGAAAATAATTTCTTCATTAATTCTATTCTAGGAAACCTGCATATCTTTAATTTAACACAAGCTGATGAAGGGACCTATCTGTGTAGAGCCAGTAATGGGGTGGGGACAGTACAGGTCAAGGCCATGGAGCTAAATGTAGAAGGTCAGTAATTATCAGAAAAGTAATTCAAAGTATATTAGTTTCTGGCTTTAGCCTACTTTTATGTTCACCAGATGTCAAAGCCTCTGATTCTGTTTTCTTTTTGATTTATTTTTATGAAACGAATGTGCCATTTCATTGTTTTATTAGAAAAACAAATATTGGAATAAAGTGGCGTACGTCAGTGATATATGTTCTCTTGCTCTAATTCAATTGTTTAAATCAGTATTTTACCTTTATTCTGTAGAGCCCCCTTCAGTGACAGCCAAAACTTCCAACACTGCAGTCAATGCTGGGGAGTCGGTCCATCTGGTATGCGAGGTCAAGGGTGAACCAGTGCCAGAGGTCATCTGGTACCATAATGCAGTTCCTGTAACAGATCTGCTGAAAGCAGAAAATGGAGGTAGGACTTGTATAATATTTTATTCATTATATATAGTATAAAATTTATACTTAATTTTAATATATTTTAACTTATTTTTACTTTGTTATATTTAATATAATTAAGTAAGTGTACAATCTTGCAGATTATATAACTCATACTTTTTCATGTTCCATATTTCCAAAATTGATTCCTTTTTAAAATAATTTCAAGTAAAAGGTGTGCATTACTATATTACTCAGGAATGGCTAGAACAATTGATATTTTAAAAGATCATTTAAAACAATTTTATGTTTTTCAATTCACTGGCAAACATTAGACAGCTAATTGCAACAGAAATGAAAGGGTTTACAATGTAAAGGAAATGTCAGGCTTTTGTGCTGCTTAACAATTTCTTGTATTGAATTCCATTTCTCTTTATCAAATGACTTTGATACCTGGCAAGTTTTAAACAAATACTTGACTTTTAAGAATGAAAGCAGCTCTTTGGAAATAGATCTGAAATGTTATCTTGTCAAAGGTGTGTACAAATCCCTTTGAAAATAAGATAGACAGGCTTTGGGAAAGGCAACTTATGTTACAATATGAACAATAGCAGGAAGTCTATATTTGTTATTAAACTTTTTTTGAAGTTTTTTTTTTTTGGGTTATTCAAAGCACATGCAGGCACCAATTCTCTTGAATAGAATGCTTAGTATTGATTTACCATTTCTTATTAAATGTCATTTTTACAAAGAACTTAAATTGATATTGATAAAATTGTCTTACATGGTCTTACACTCTAAAAGACATTTAAATTAAACACAGTCCATATGCCTGTTTACACATAAAATTGTTAGATTTTTAGCATTTTTTTCCCAATTTCCCTTTTTCTTTTAAAAAAAATAATAATACAATTGTATCACATTGTACTTGCAGATAAAATATATTACCTAAATATTTTAATTTTTTACGTAACAGTTTTTGTCCATTTGTATATTCAATTTTAAAGTTTAAATAAGGTAACTGAAAATAGGTCTTAAGGAAAAAATGTAATTTTTTAAGTGGATTTGGAATATAATAAATCCAGATTTGATATTTTCAATGTTTTATATTTAAATTCAAGAGATGTAATACAGGCCATGTCTGTTCAGTGATATTTGAAGTAACGAGAATAAAAAACATGTGTAACTATTATTATTTTGAAGTTCCTCAGAGACTTTGAGTGAAACAATGTTCTGTAATAATTTATTTCCAATATAGATACTGTCAATTTAGAAAATTTGTTATTTTAAATTCTGTGACCTTTGCTTTCTGTTCAGAAAGATGAAAAAAATGCTTTTTTCAATGCTGTTTTCAGATTTCAGGAAGATTTATTAATGTTTTAAATCTCTTTTTCAGTGACCACCTATAGTATTAAGAGTATTCGGAAATCTGAAGGTGGAATCTACCAATGCATGTCTAGTAATGAAGCAGGAATGGCTTACTCTGCCATTGAAGTGAAGGTCAAAGGTCAATTAGCCAGCGAGAACGAAGTACCTGATAACATTGGAAAAATTGCATCAGGTATTTGTTCAATTTATTTTTATGCGCCCTGATCGATAGATCCTGGGCGTATATTGTTTTTGTCCTGTCTGTTTGTCTGTTTGTCTGTTTATCTGTTTGTCTGTTTGTCTGTTTGTTTTTCTGTCTGTTGTCAACTTTAACCTTCACCATAACTTTTGAACCATAAGAGATACAGACTTCATATTTAGTATGCATACTCCACTAATTAAGTCCTTTCAAGTGACATCAAGGTCAATGACCTTCTGACCTTGGCTGTGACCTATATGCTAAAAATAGTTTTTTCCACTGTTTGTCATAACTTTTGAACCATGGGAGATGGGGACTTCTTATTTGGTATACTTACTCGATTAATAAAGTCCTTTCAAATGACATCAATGTCAATGACCTTGTACCTTGACTGTGACCTATATGCTAAAATAGTTTTTTCCACTGTTTGTCATAACTTTTGAACCATAGGAGATAGGGACTTCATATTTGGTATACTTACTCCATTAATAAAGTCCTTTCAAATGACATCAAGGTCAATGACCTTGTGACCTTGACTGTGACCCATATGCTAGAAAAAGCATTTTACACTTTTCCATAACTTTTGAACCGTAGGAGATAGGAAATTCATATTTGGTATGCATACTCCACCGATTAAGTTCTTTCAAACAACACCAAGGTCAATGACCTTGTGACCTTGCCTGTGACAAATATGCTAAAAATAGACTTTTTGAACTTTGTTGCCGCCGGGCGCATAGTGTTTCACAAACACATCTTGTTTAATTAGAGAAAATGAGTTTTGGTCAAGCAAAGCCTAAGGTGGTACTCTTGAAGAAATTCTGGATTGCTTGTGCCACGAGGGTTTGTATATCAGGTGTTGATCACAACAACTTGCACAACACACGTAAATAGGACATTACCATTAATTGAGCTGGTCTGAAAAATTACAGCACATTTTTCCGCATATTTTCAAAATATTGAATGCATATCAAATGAAATAAATCAAATTCACACCCATTGTGTTCCCTTGTTTTTCAGGCGGTGTCATTTCTGGTGGTGTTGATACTAGTCCCAAAATGTCTAGGAATGGAAACAGGAGGAGGAAGAAGGGGAAGAGAAAGAGGAAGAGAAAGAAGGGTGGAAGGAGAAATAATAGAAACCGAAATAAAGGGAGGCCCTCAAATGATGGACCCACAGGTAAGACACAGACTGGTATAGAAATATTGTCTGTCCTAAGTACAGTCAAATCTTGTTCTTTTGAACTTAAATAGACCCAGAAAAAACCTTCAAAATATCCAAGGATTCAAGATATTTAGGGAAGAAGATTTGTAGAATATGTGGTTTGGACTCGATATAACTTTGACACAATTATTTTCAAGATATCAGTGTTTGAGATACTGAATTTCAACTGTGCACGTATTAGTGTATCTATGTCTGTCTGTTTGTAATAACTGCACCTTTGAACATTTTACTCCTCTTCAGTTAAACTGGTCCCTCCCAGTGCCCCTGACGTGGTTCAGCTGTCTGACACCTCTGTGAAGCTGAACTGGACGGTCCCTGAGAACGATGGCCTGTCAATCACTTTCTTTCGAATCCAATACAGGGCCATCAAGCCAAAGAAAACTCAGTGGAAGACAGAGGATACAGATGTCAGGGGAGATCAGAGGATGTATGAACTGATACATCTCAAACAAGGTTAGTTTTTGATAAAGGGAACCTTTTGATCTGTGATGTGTGTAAATATGTGTCAATATTCATCAAATGTTGATTTAAAAAAGAAAACCTTGAATAAAAAAAATCAGCATTGTTTACATATTCTTGGAAACCTCTTTTTTTGTTCAATATGCAGAGACATAATTTGAATTTCTAATTCACAAATCATTTATATGAGGTATATTATGTAAACTTTTCATTGAATTAATTTTCAGTATTAAAGAAAGAAATTGAAAAAGCAAGTGTAAATGGAGTTGCAATTTGATGAAAGTACCAGAAGTGTAATTTATGCTGAAACAATCAATGTTAACTTTTTTCCTAAATATTTTTCAGAAGGCACATACAAATTTCGAGTAGCAGCTGTGTACTCCAATAATGACAACAAACATGGACCCACATCAAAGAAGTTCACCCTGAAGACGGCCCCTTACTCCGAGCCCCAGGCCCCTGAGGGAGCCCCGGTCATCGTAGAGGTCAAAGCAGTGGAGTACCAGAAAATACACGGGCTCAACGTCAAATGGAATGTAAGTCAGATTACACCGTGTCCTTGATTAAACAGCCAAGTCTGAGGGACAGAAAAAGGGAATTCTTTGTAGCAAGGATATATATAACATATACTAATGGAATGGGCGACTTCTTCTCATTGGCCCAAACATAAAACACAACACTACAAGTTTTTCAAACTTTCATTTTCTCCTGTAAATAAAATTCTTTTGATTAAATATTATGGATTTAAAATTTTTTAAAGCTATACATTGTAAAATAATTTAAATAAACCTTTTTCATGCAATATTTCTGAAGGAATAATGATACAACAATTTTCTGGTAGTGAATTTTTCTCTTTGTTTAGTATGTGCCAAAGAAAAAATCCCCAATCGAAGGCTTCACACTTCACTACAAAGAATATGGTGCCAAAAGCAATTTCACCTCCCTACCATTATTGGAATCTACAATTAGGTCATACATGATCAAAGATCTCAAACCTGCCACAGAGTACACCATTAAAATCCAGAGTTTCAACACGGCAGGTTTTAGTGATCTCAGTAATGAAGTGGTCATGAGAACAAAGGGAGGTAAGTCAGATCTTCATTTCCAATAGTACAGTAAAACAGGCTTAATATTTAAAATAACAAAGTTCCAGGGATGATCAATTTTGCTTTTACTATAAGGATGTTTTTTTACTGCGTGTAGAAATTTTTTTAAAAGAATGATATGTTCTGTAGAAGTTTGGAACATATTCTCAACATCTCCATTTTGTGATGACATTTTCTTTGACTTTTCAGGTGTTCCCTTCCAGCCACCAGCTGGGAACAATGGCCGCCCCATCTCAAACATAGATAACGACTGGCCCTCTCCTGCCCCACCCACTCCATCTCGACCGAGTTCGAACGCCAAAGAGCAGGAGAGAAATAACACTCAGTCGAGCAGTGAGATGTTGTACATGGTACTGGGGATTGTCCTGGGAGTCATGATGCTGTTCCTCATCATCTTCATGTTTATGTGTTGGTGGAAACAGAGGCAGCAGAGGAGGAGGATGGGTAATTAGGGGGGGAGAACATCTTACTATACATCACTTTATTTGTATACATACACCTTAGTTTCGCATATTTATGTGAGATGGTCTGCTTGCAAAATTACGATTCTTGCATGTATTTTTATTATCATAAGATATCAGTAGCAAAATTCAAAACTTGCGAAAATCTTGTCTTGCCCATTAAAACCAAATAATTATATTGCAAAAATTAGATGTCACAAATATTTGGTGTTCTATTGTATATCAGTTCATAAATGTTAAAAAAAAATTTTTTTTTCCTTTCTTCTTAGACATATTTTGGTAGAGGTTCTTTTTTTTTTTTAAACCATGAGTCTGTGTGTTGCAGATGCTATGAATGATGCAGTGTGTCAGAAATTCCAGGACTCTTCACAGAGAATCTACGCAGATAGTCTACACAAAAAATATCCCAATGGAGGGGGGTTTGGGTGTAACGGAGTAAACGGGTCTATCCCTAATGGGCATGCAGGGAATGCCTACACCAGAATGAACATTAGTGTTAATCCATTGTCTGATATTGATGTCGCCAACCATAACCGTGGATCAAATTATCAGGTTTATATGCTTTTAATTTAAAACTTAAATGCAGGAATTTTAACTTAAAGATGGTATAAATGCAAATAAATTCCTAAAAATTTATGCATCACAGTTTTAATTTCTGTGTATGTTTGAATAGTTCTTGTTCATTATCATATAAAAAGTAACTTTAATCATGCTCAAATTTTTTTTTCTTTTCAAATAAATAAGTTTTGGAATTTTGTATTGTAGACATCTACGTTTGTGCCTAACGGCAGTGTACCAAGTCATTATAACGAAAGTGATAACAACTTTAACAAAATAAACCGCAGTATGGACGGTTCAGTACATAGTACTTCTCATCATAGCCAGCAGTGTATAGAGACTTTAGACTCCATGGGAGGGGGCGAGGCACCGGCCTGTCCCCCCTCTCCACATTCATGTCATGTGCCAACAGGATTTAATAGTGATTTCAATTCAGACTCTCCGCAGGAAGGTTATTCACATGGTGGACGGGATCCCCACTTGAGAATTTCTTCCCCCCATGGGGGCAGTAGGGACGTAGGAGTGCATTATTCATGTGACAGTTTGACAAGTGAAGGTGGTGCTAATTCTGGGAAGCCCAAACGACGGAGAAAACGGGCCTCAAGTCGGGATCACGGAATGCGGGATCAGGCCACCAATACAGATCTTAGTAGCAATGGTGGGTAAACTGTGAAATTTGTTTCCTTTTTAGCAATTACAATGTCCTATATATTTTCCTCTCTGAAGATGATAGATTCAGATTTACTAGGAAATAACATCTTTTTCCCCACATACTTGATGGTGTGAAAAGTAGGTTGTGACCTAATTCCTCAGTCCTGTTTTTGCACCAGCTTCTACCGATATTGGATTGAAAAATAATAGAGAGAAAATAATGGTATTTTTCCTGGTTTTCAATTTAGGTCAAGTCCTTAATTTCAAATTATGATATTAGCACATTTTGTAAAACGATTTATTTTAAATCTTTATGCACCTTTACAATGGAAAAAAAATCAAGCTGCATTTAAATTTTATGCTTTCTTTTTAATTTCAGAGGGAACTATAGAGTTCACTTCATATGACAGAACATTAAGTTCCTCTCAGATTTCTGGTCAGAATTCATTTCAACCTCAGACTTTAAACTCCTCTTCTCCAAACTCACAGTTAACGCAATCAAACGAGGAACTATGACATCATGTCCAGAGAGACTCTTCGTCATTTTTCATGGAATCCAAAACCTAGGCTGAAGGAGAGAAGGTGTCGTCTGCTACGAGATGTCCCAGAATCCTCCTCAAAAATGGAGGGTAATGTTTGAGAGCATAGAGCATGTTTATTCAAAATGAGGAGAGTCGATTGAGCCACCATTTTAATTTTTTTAACGAGAATTTTTCTTTGTATTGATAAACAACACGTGGCATGATTGTTGTTTTTTATTTTGTTCTTACTCTTGTATAATAACGAGAAAGTCTTCATACCTGTGTATATTAATTAAGATTGTAATAACACAATATGATATTACCTCAGTTTTTTTTTTTTTTGTTAATTAAAAATTTCAAGAGAGCCAAAGAGGAAAGCTAGATTACCATGTGATGTTTGTTTTGAGTGACAGGAATTTGTGTAGGAGTTTGAGTGGGAGAAATTTTATGTCTAATATTGCGTGCCTTCATGAGGAATGAATGTTCCAGCAGAATGTATTTCAGCAGTTCAGTTTTTTTTCATATTTGAGGGTAAAATGTAAATGAAGAGCCAGTAAAATTAGATGTATAGGTATGAACCCATGCCCAGTGGATTTATACTATTGCTTTGATTTATTCATTTAGAAATAAGGTATTTTTAATATTCATGAGATAGTTTGACGTAAATTTACATATTCATACCATACTAAAACTGCTAATGCATTGTACGTAATAAAATAAGGTCATAGAGATTTTAAATGAAGTGTATGTGATGGTGTACTTGATTCTATATGTATATTGAGGTTTACTTGATTCTCTGAATGTGATGTACAATAATCTTCTGTTCTCTGAAGAGGGGAACAGGGGGCCATTTTTCAAGGGTAAAAAAAACAATAGAAAGATTTTCATCTTGTATACTATATGTGTCATTTTTATATGTATTTGTCCATTATGCCATTTGAAAATGACGAAATAACGAGAATTACCATATAAATCTACATTTTAATTTATAATGTTATTATGCTTTGTACCATAGTTTGTGAAGCAAAGACCAGTTACTATTCCTCATTTTCTCTTGAACATCTTTCATACAAACATGAAATCCTTTAGTGAACATGAAAGTGAACAAATTGTTCAGGACCTTTTTGTGTTAGATGTACAAGATTTTATGAATTTTGTTATAAACATGCCTTGGATGGTATTTTCCAAATAAGAAATATAAATTCATCAGATGATGATTCTGAGGAATGGGGATATTGGTCTAATGTTCTGTTTTGTTCAGTATTACATTTTCTGTACCTTTTCTTTTGTTAAATTAATTTCTTTGTGTGCCAGTTTTTAAAACTGTTGAGAAAAAGGGAGGGAAGTTTTGATAGTGAGAAATTGTTCTGGGTGAAGATAGTGTTATTGTTGATGAAGGGACAGAATTGGAAGAAAACAAAATATTTTTTTATTATATAAAATGGGTAAATATTAACATTTTAAAAATGCAATTAATAACCAATTCAAAGATAAGCCAGTATCTGGTATGATTATCTCACAATTCTTTTTTCCTTTGTGTTTCTCGTATTACTGTACAACTCTTCAGTTTATAGTCAAATGCATTGCATTGTCCCCAAATCTTATATCAAATTAACTCATTAATGAAATGTAGAGTTACAAACTGTTAATGCTTCAATGTCTGTTTTTATCAATGATCCAAGAGTTTGTGATATTGGTTTCTTGTCAATACATCATATTTCTTCCATTGCAATATTATATTACAGCAAATAAGATTTCTAACGGTCTGCCGGTCTGCTCTTAAAGGCACTGGTGTTAATTAGAGCCAGGCATGAGAAGATTGTAATCATTTTTTATTTTTTTTAAATTTTTTTTTTTATTCAAAATCTTGTATAAATGTAATTAAATTTACTTTTTAATGGCAATAATACTTGTTTTTCCAAATTGAATTAGCAATGAAAAATATGTAAGGAATGTTTTCTTAAATTATGAGATTGATTGTCAAAGAAGGTAACTTTCTTCTGATGCCTGGCTTACAATGCCAGCTGGATGTATTGTGATAAATCTGATTGTTACTGTGTGTTACTGTATGGTTGTCTTCTAAATGTTAAATATTACGGATGAATATTGTGTATGCATTGTTGAAAAATGATAAATACTCAAATAAAATGTATTAAGAATGCAGACTTTTTTTTTTTTTTACTTCATTGAGTTGCTACAGAAAACAAACTCTTCTAATATAGTTGCCATTAGTGTGGAGAGAAAATGGGCCACAACCCTAACCTGAGTAACTATGACACTTTTTGTTCATCAACCTAGTTTTTTTTTTTTCCCTTCATATTTCTATGTAAAACTTTGATTGCTCATAGCAACCCCAGCTACTCTGGAGGTCAGAATTTGAATTAACAAACAAATCTACCCTACCTATTAAAGGATGATTCCATATGAATATATGACTGAGCATGGCTTTGTTGTTCTTAAGAAAATATTTTTTCCTATGTATTCCTGTGTAAAAGTTCGATCACCCATTGTGGCCCCACCCTAATCCCCAGAGGTCATGATTTGAGTAAATCTTAGGATACTTTCACATCAATTTGTGTAATCATGGCTTTGTTGACCTTCAAGGACCTTTTCCTGTCATTTTCCTGAGTGAAACTTTGATCCATCCTTGTGGCCCACCTTTACCCCCAAGGGTCATGATGTGAACAATATTTGATTCTGCACTACCATAGGAAGATTTCATATCAAATTTAACAAATACAGTCAAACTTCGACAAGTTCTATTGTAAAACAGTCAAGCCTAATTTAATATCTCAAACTATGGGACCAAGAAAAATCTTTGAGATAAGCAAAGACTTAACTTATTGAGAATAAAATACTTGAATATTGAGCAGTTCATGTCACTTTGACATATCTATTTGAGATATTGCCTTTATAAGTGTTCAAGATACTGAACTTCAACTGTATTTATTCACTTACAAATTTTGCAGTATTTATGAAATACGGTATCTTATATAAATTTTGCAGTGTTTATGAAATACGGTCAACATTTACAGTAAAGGGTGTTTGATTTTTCTGTTGAAATTAAATTTATATAACTTTGTACAAAATACCTCAAATGAGGTAAAAACAAAACTGATTACCTATATCATGAACCAACTTGGAGTACCTGACAATTTATGTATTATTTATGCCTGACTGTATGCGTAGGTCCATTTGCTCTCCCTACAGCATAACGAGATATCGCCAATCTGGATATAAGGAACTGCCTTGATGACATTTTTATTAACCCTGTTGATGTAATGAGAGACTCGCACTGTCTATAATACATGTAATCCCTATTAAGATGTTTACTGGGGGGACTCAAATATACCTCACCCACACAATTCAAATAATATATAATCAGGTAAAATGTGATAGAAATCATGTAATACCTTGACTATAGCATTATTACCGCTCATGCACATATCTAAAATGTACAACTCCGTTTACCTGGTTTTCTTCTCTTTGTCTGACCTTACCTTATTATGATCTGAAGAGGTTACAGGGTATTAACCTTTCTTGTTTCACTTTTCCCAGGTTATATACCGATATACTTTTACTCTGAAGCAAAACAATTTTTCATGTATCTGTAACCTTTATTGTTTTACATTTCCCAGGCCAGATTATATGCATATTGGTGTACTTTTATTACATTTTTCACGCAGGAGAAAACTCTTTCTCTTCAGAAGATCTGGCAAAATTAACAGATAAGTGACAGACAATCCTGAAATTTGAATTCAATCTTAATTGGTACCTCAATGCAGTAAGAGTGATCTGCCCTTTGATATGAAATTGAATTAACAGAAATCCAGTGTTTTATTCACGGTTTGTTATAATTTAAGGGGGCCGACTTCTTTGGTTTTCATTGCGCAATATTTCACACATCATGGTAAAATGAAGCGTACTTACTGTTTTAAAACAACTTTTTTCTCTTGATTAATAAAATTAAACAAACTTAAGAAATAACAGGTTTAAAAATGTAACTACAATTTTATATAACTGATTTTTTCACCGATTTTGCAATTGATAGTTAGGTTGACGTCGTTATAGTGTGGTTTTGACGTTATGACAAACTGAAGCTCTTAAGAAATGGGTAATAAAAATGTTATTAAAGAAAAAGTAATAAACATACGCTCTTGAAATTCAAAACATTGCAATTTAAGAATATCTCCAATATTTTTATTATGGTTTCATATAAATCTCATGTGCCCGTCATATTTTGTAGTTCTCTATAAAAACAAGAAAATTGATTAATTTTTTGCATTTTGAGATGCCCCTTCTCGTAACAAGACGGTAGAATTTTGTGTTTCTTACATATAATGTACAAGAATATAGTATTACTCATCATGTATTATTGTAATATTTGTATAATATGCTTTAAAGTGCTAAAAAGTGGCAATTTCCTATATAATCCAATAGTTAATGTTCCTGTATTTTGAGAAGGTCCCTTAAGAATACCCGGACGGTAGATTTTCCCCAAACTTGGCATGTACGCTGAAGTTAATGTAAATTATATATGGTATAAAAATGAAGAGTTTCACTATTGCAGTTTTCACATAATAAAACCCCAGTCAGCCCTCTTAAATCAAAATATTTGTAATATTATATCATTCATCAAATTAAATAAATATTTATTGCTTGTATTTTCCCATTTAAGTAATTAAGCAGCTGTGATATGACTGTTCATCAATATTATGATACTTAGGTATACCTGAGAAAAATGAAAGATGCCCTATGAAGTGGATCAACTCAATATATATACATCAAGATATAATTTTCTTCAGAATAATAACATTAATTCATTAGGGTGTTGTGTTGTAGGGCATACAAGTAACTTCCCTACAGCAAAGAATCTCCCCAGATAAATTGTTCTATAATATTTCATAACTTTATAACACCCCCCTTCTTTGCTAATTTATGCCCCCAAATCAAAGATTCTCGTGGTTTGTACCTTGTCTGTATGTCTGCAAATACTTGAACCTTCCCCATAACTTCTGAGTGGGCAGAATTTTGGCTTTCACAGGTGTATTACTTGTGACAAGATCTTTCTTTGTGTATCAACAAATCTGCCCTCCTGACCTTGGAGTTTGACCCACCTTTTGCAAAAATTTACCAAACTTTAACTTTGGCCATAACGTTTGAACGGTTGGTGCTAGGTTTTTTGTTTTTTTTTATTTTTAACCTTGGTCATAATTTTTGAACAGTTATGTGTAAGGGAATGATATTTTACATTTTCTTTTAAATGATTGGTGTAAGGGCTTTTACAAATTTCTTTTGTAAATTTCTTTTAACAAGGTCTTCCCCTTGGTACCATTAATTTTTACCCTTGAATCTTTGATTTTGACCCAAATTTAAAAACTAATCTTGGCCAGAACTTTTCAAACATTAGTACTTGGGCTTTCATATTTAAAATATACATCCTTTGTTTGGATAAAAACATTTCTGGTCTCTTGACCATTGAGTCAGACTTTGAGTTGAGAAACTTCAATCCTTGCTATAAGCTGCCACATGTCAGCATCAGGTTTCTTTATACATTTTAACTGTCTCAAATCTCTAACCCTCTAACTCAAACCTAACCCTAGCACTTGTAGCTTAACTCTAACTCTTATATTAACCCTAACCCTGGCCGTCTAACCCTAACCCTACTCTTTAACAATACACCTGTGCCAGCGGAAAGTTCGTCCGCTGAAGGGAGTGCCTGTGGTGCATTGGATCCCACTCTCCGTCAGGCCACTGTTTCAGTTTTTGGAAGATACTCCCTTGACCATGAGTGCTTCTGCACTTCCCAGTTTTCAGCTCAAATCTACGAAGTTTTTCTTGCATTCCTTACATGCACTGCTTCAGAACCACAATCTAGGCTAATAAATAAAACACCAAATTATTTCTGAACTTTATTTAAACAGACAAAATACTACACCCTACATAGCAACAAATGTAGTATGAGCTTAGAGTGAGAAAATGAAGATTCAAAAACAAAACATATCAACTATAACTACTCAATACTTTCATTTTCAGTCATTGTGTTGTCAAGACAAAACTATTGCAAAATAAAATATCATTCCTTCACATGATAAACACTTTAAATCGAGACTTTTTAATAAAGATTTTTATATGCAACAATTGCAAATCTCTTTCATGAAGTGAAAAATTATAGTCAAGCCAATAAAATATATAAAAGCAAGAGAGTAAATAAATTAACAAGACCATTTGGTTCAGCAAAATCATTAATTAAAACTATGTATAATTAACTTTTAAGCTCTCTCTCTCAGACTTAATCACTTGTAGCAATGAAGAACAATAACTGTTTCACTTAATAAATACCAAGCACTAACCAATTTTTGAATCTGCATCACAATTTATCTGCAATATATGCTAGATTACATTTAAAAAAAAATTTACATTTATGTATGATTTTTCAACATAATAATAATTATCTGTGATTTATGCTAAAGTAGGTAAGCAAATTTTGTGATTTTTGTATGATATCTCAACATACTAAAAAAAGATTATCTAATAGCTGTATTGATTATTCAAGTACATGTACATAGGCACATAATTTCATCTATATTTTTCAAATTTTTATCCAACATATGTAACTTAGCTTTCATAAATAACAAATTGTACTTTAAAATGCAGGCAATTGCATGCAATAATTTAAGTTACATTTTGTAGCACTTTATAATGTATTCATAAATATCATCAATAAATAAATTTAATTTCATGATTTCTCTTGATATCATTCTACAACCTTTTACATAATTCAATGAGATTAAAGAATTATATGGTTGTGTAATATATATATGTACACTCTATGAAAATTCATCCCTAGTTTTCCTATTCACACAAATAAATGTCATATCTTTTACAATGCCATTTTTATAACTAATACACCTACTGAAAAAAAGCATTAAAAAGTAGAGCAATTTTACCAGAATTTATCTCAAAAGATTTTGCAAACTCCTTTGGTACAAATGTCTGATCAGAAATATTTTTTTTTTTAAACTATTGCACTTTTTTGTTGAGTTAGCTTTATCAATCTCTGAATATTATAGATGTTTGATGCTCTATAAATTCCTATTCTTATTTTGAATATCTTTTGGAAAAGATTGTACAAATACATCTATACGACAAATAACACCACTATTTACAATCTAAACTACACTAAATTGAAGAAAAATTCACAAGACGGTACAATTATTTGGACAAAATAAAAAATATTTACAGATTTTGAGGATTTAAAAAATTTTCATTTGGTTTAAATGTTGAAAGGTTAGCGAGTTGTATTTGCAGAGCTTCATGTTATACAAATAAATGACTCCTCTTGCTTATAATCGAAAAATGAACTTGTGTTCAACAGATTGAAAATAGGTAATTAAAAATTATAGAGCCCACCTAAATGAATGTTATTTCTATGTTAGGGAAAGTTTCATACAAAATGAAAGTTTATGTATTTAAAACTTCATTTCTAGATGCAATATCCATGCAAGCTCCGTCTTGGTAAAATTTAAAATTTATTACGAAAAAAAAACATGTATCAGAAAGTTGAACCTTGTCACTTGTCCATAACATTTAATTCAGACTCAGTATCTAAGGCCACTCCAGTAGTTTTAGTAGTTTGCTTCCCTCTGTCTAAATAATTATAATTTATATATCCATGCAAGGTTGGTCAGAGGAGGCAGTGGCCTACAGTTTCTTGGGAATGGACACATCTTGTTCCTAGAACATTAACCACAATGCCTGGTTATCGAATGAGCACAATTCAACCTGTTTAAGAAGAGCTAAATAATGACATTCAATAAAATATTGATAATTTGATAGAATGGAAATTGTTTTCATAAAATCTCAACATAATAAATTTCTGTACTACTGAAAAAACCAACACCCCCAACCCTACGTAATAATGAAAAACTACAGCATACTGCAGCTTCTAAATGAATCTCACTGTTTCACCATGCAGGGTCAATATGTTACATTGAATTTACAGGACACAAAAAGAAGTTCTATACAATTACCTAATGAGATATGTACACGGACAACACAGAATGTATATAATCTATATATATGTATATAATAAAAATAGTACATTTATGGCAAGGGCACATATATCTCTCAATCAGTTCACAAATAAATTATCAAATATGTAATATATGTACCATAAACTGTACACAAAAGGGCTATATATTAATTCTGTTCATGTTTTAAACAAAAATATGTACACATGTATCAATTCCTCTTTTTCTAAGAATTATCAAAGCGAAAGTAAATTTGCTGTGCAAATCAGATTTCATGCTTCACAATTATGCTTCCTGTTATCTGTAAACTATAAAAAAAAAAAAAAAAAAAAAAAAAAAAAAAGGCTCGACATGACTGTAGCTCTACTGTTGTATACATCTTATAAAAATGTATCCCAATATATAAGTATAGAAAACTTGTGTAAAAAGTCTAATCAGACTAAAAATGTAGGAGGAGTATAGCATTCCATTTAAAGTTTACAAAGAAATTTCTCTATTTTAAGTAACCATGGCAACATTTTTTGTCAATCAAATCAAAAAACCCGCAGAGGTTATATATCTTGGTACAGTCTACTTGTGTGCCAAGTTACACTGAAATTGAACCATAACTGTAGGAGGAATAGTGTTTTGGGTTTTTTTTTTGAAAAAAAAAAAATTCAAAGAAATATGTATTTCAAGTACTCATGACAACCCTGTCAAAATCAAAAAAAAACATTCAGAATTAGGTTATACTTGGACCAAAACTCTGGGAGAAGTACAAGTATTTTGAAAAAAAAAATGAAGATGAATAGATCGAAAGACAGACAGACTGATGGATGATCTACACCTTTCCAATGCATAAAGGTCTTCTGGTCTTTGACCAGTATAGATAAAAAAACTTAGAAAAAAAGAGTTCTGTAGCATAATTGGGAGATGATTTGGCTATAAAAAATGTCAGCAACATTAACATTTCCGTGATATAGATGACTTGCTGAAAAAGTTCATCAGTTATTAATTTTCACAGTTACCAAGCAACCAAATTCTAACCACTCTGTTAGTTGTGAAAGAGCAACAACAGTGAAAGCATTTCGATGAAAATCGACAATTACAGCACAGAAACATTAACACAATGAAATGACATTTGAAATTCAAAATATCATTTCTGACAGTCACACCCAGACATTGCAATACCTTATGTTTATGGGTAATCAAAATATCTACAAAAGCATTCAGTTACTGAAAGCAATTCTTACTCAATTTGCATCTGCAGTTCTTCAGTTGTTAAAGAGAAAAATGGAAGAGGGCAAAGAGAGCGAAAAAAATACATGTTCTCTTGTTAAATGAAATACACAGTAAGTACATATTCTATTTCATTCAACAAAATGTGCAAAACTTTTCCAACATATTTGAGCAGAAGTTGGTGGTTGGACAACAAATTCATAATACCGACATCGATTTAATAAGAAGTAGTGACTATGCCCTCCAAAAAAAGCCATGAACATTCAGGATGTATTCCACTCATAAAGAAAAATTTGTTTACATACAGTTTATGTACATCTATACAGATTCTAAAATACAGAATAGAATTGGGAAAAAAAGAATTTATAAAGATTTGCCTCTTCTCCTTCAAAATACATCTGTACAAACCTATCATAAACGAAGTCTTGTATGTCATTCCAATAGACCAGTTTTTCACAAAATGACATTCCGAACTGCAAGAACAGACACCCGATAATACTAACTTTCACATTTTTTTAAATAATGTGAGATAGATTATCTCAGAGAGATCAGGGGAAATTAAATGACAAAATGAGGGGGGGAGCTTTCATGGCATCTACTATAACGGTACACAAGGTTTGACAACAGAATAAGAGGACCAGCTCTAACCATCATCCGAATAACAAATCTCCAAAAATATAGCATTCTCACGGATTCTAAATATATACACATATATACACAGTCACTATCTATGTTACACAGAGTGTTCAGCACTGCTGAGTCTATGGGAGGGATGGATACCAGTTGATCCCTGAAGATGGGTACCAGTTAGCACTTCGATGATTGTTGAATCACAAAAAAACACAGAAAAGATCTTCCTACTATATAGATTGATGATGATGAAGCAGAAGTGGCTTTTTGAATGGCAAGCAGATTTTCCATCTGTTCAAAGAAATAAAATTATTATGGTTTCATCCTTAATTCTATGTACATTAAAAATTGTCTAATCTGGATTCGGATTCCACTTGTTCCACAGAAAATGGCCAGAATAAACAGCATTCTACAGCCATCCATATAAGAAATCTTAAACATCTAAATTTACTGATCGGAACTTAATAATTTACCTAGGTACATCCTATTAGGCAAGATTTTGGAAAAAACATACAGATTAGAAATTTTAACTGTAAATCAAAACTAGATTTTTTGAAACAATGGCACTCTTTGTACATTGCAAATAATTTTCATCTGTTTTTGGCCATCATGAATGATCATTGATTAATGACAGGATGAACATGATGAACTACTCACTTTTTGTAAACAACCTAGCTGGGTTTAATTCATTTCCGTTTTAATTCTCTGTTCTAAGGTCAGGTCAAGGTTGGAGTTTCCGTCGTGAGGTTTCCCTTCGCCTTCATTGTCCACCTGAATCTGAATCTCACTCTGGTCCTTTCTGTACAAGACATAAATTAGTATTGTCAACATTGAGAGTATAATCTTGCGTCTTTTTAAATTACACATCAATATCATTTAAGACATGTCTTCATGCAACTTTCAATGTACATTTGTTACTTGAGGATGCTCCACCAAGCCCTCATCTTTACTTGTTACAAAAATAATAACTGCTATAAAAGAGAAACTTCAGATAAATAGAATATTCTATAAGTGATGTAATTTAGATGTGGATTCTCAAAAACCTTGAAGAACGTTTAGAAAATTTAAAATCACCAAATTTTTCAAAAGTCAGGAAAACCCTTCAATTTTTTTTACTATATTTTATACAACCATTTCCAACATAGACTAGGCCTGCATGAGAAGAAAAAATTTTTTTTGTAGCCTTCAACTTCACAATCAAACATATCAACCACTTTTTATCAATTAACAATAGTTAATGCCATGAATTTGTTGACTAGAATTATCCAAATGAACTTGAAATAAAAATTCACAACAAAGTCTTGCCATATCTGTTTCATATTTGGATGTTTTACTAACTGTTGGGGTTTTTCTAGATCCATCAATGAAATCTCACTTTACAGGGAATGTAACCAACTTTTTCTACATATAAGCCAATAATGAGTAAAATGACCCTACCTCCTCTCCTGATCCACATTTTTAGCATAAATCTGTGCCAGCTGCTGCATTCCCGCCAGGTGTTGGTTATAACCAGGCACCATGTACATCCTGGGAACAAATCCTGATCCCCCCGATCCTAAGAAGGCAGGGTGCATGGGCATGCCTGATTGAGGGAACATGCCTCTGACACCCTCAGAACACATGTTTGTTGGATAAAGTCCGGCAGGAATATTTGGGTTGGAGGCTGATGAGATCTTTGGGTGCTTGTCATTTTCACTGTTAGGCTGGGACTGATGGGATGGGACTTTGTCCAAATTTTCCATGCTGTCATATTTACGCATGAGCTTGTCCTTTAAGTGGCTCATAGTCTCTGAGTGCATGTTGTCTCTCCTGTTGCCTTGTTCCACGAACCGTGTAAAAGAAGACGTACTGCTGAGGGGAGTACTGTTTAACTGAGAAGCCAGTGTGGGCAATTCCTTGGCCACAGAAGAGGGTCTGCCGCTGTACTTGGGAATATTCAGCAAAACTTGAGGTGACGAAGCTGTCGTTGTCTGTTTGGGAGACACTTGCAATGGAAGCTTCAAGAAGCCCATTTGCAGATTTGGAGTGCTAGAATTTAAGTGAGCCAGAAGCTGTGGGTGACTCTCCACAGCCGATTTTGTCTTCTTCTCTTTTGTATCGTCATTAATCTTCAATTTCTCAAGGTCCTTATTTGGTATGTCATCCATAGACTGGGATTCATCATTTCTTTCATTGATAACATTATCCTGGGAGGACACGCTGGTATCCTCATCTATCATAACATCCTCGTCCTCAGCCTTGGACTTCCTCTCGGCTTCATTTTCTGTTGAAATCAAATGTTTCCTCATTTTGTCAAACTTTTTGTGGAAGACAGAACTTGATTCCTGACTTTCCACACTTGTCTGGTCCTCATCTGTATCCATAGCGACAGGAGAACCAAGCGGCTGGTCTGATTTGGCTGGATCTGGATTTTTCTGGTTGCTGGGAGGAGGGGGAGCTCCTGCAGCAGCAGATACTGGACTAGATGTAGAGGGAGGGAGCCAGGTGACTTGTTCTGGCTGAACAGGGAGCTGAACTGCTGGAAGATTCTCATAAGTATCCGGCACCTGTAAAGAAGTTAAATAGTAAGATATCATACAAAATAAGTTAATGCATTTCTTTTTATGAAAAATAAAATTTAAGTATTAAATACTCAAGATGTACTTTTTTCCACGGGGTCATAACTCCGCAGAATCTCAATTTCTGTTTATTCCGCGGGTAGAAAATTACGTAGATTTCTTAGACTGTCACTATATGCCTTACATTTATATTAAGTACGCTTGGACAAATTTCCGCGGAAAATTTGTGACCGCATATATAGCATTTTATGCCACATGGAAAAAAGTATGTCTACAGTATATGAAAATCCATTTGCCACATGTCAAACAATAATCTAAAATTGCTTCTGCTCCATTTATCAGAAAATCTCTAAAACATTGATTTATGTAAAATGAAATGCTTTTGGAAGGGCAATGAAAAAAAACTTAAATTTTGCATTTAAAAAGTAAACTAGAACTGTCCAATAGGGACAAATACCCCCGCTGGGTTTTTCAGAGTAGGTGCCAATTCAGAAATATTTTATGGATCTAGTAAGAGGTGTTCACTATTGTCTAATAAAGTGTCCCGCCACAGCATGATACGCCCATCAAATATTGTTCGATAGTCATAAATTGGTTAGGGTGCAAGAAAATCAAGTAACCTTGATTAACAGATTGACACAGATTTCAATGATCTAATTTCCATTTTTTATCATGTTTAAAATATTGTACATACATCTCTAAGAGACTTACAGTGTAGGGATTAATTAAAACAAATATTCTAAACTGGCTGTGTTAGAGCTTAACAAATAGCCATCTGCAGCTTTAAATTGTTTATTGCATATTTTATGAAATAATGGAAATGCTGCAGTCTAATAAAAAAAAAATCAAAAATTAATTATTCTTTAGACTATAAAATTCTAAGTGAGACATGACTGCAATTTGTTGCAAATATATAAAAATTTAAATGTATTTTTTTCAATGAACACATGTAAAATTAATTTTAATTATATCATACAATACTAATTCAGTTTTAATCAAATACTAAAACATCAATTTGTTTTAATTACATTACACCAATTGAAAGATCTTTATCTGAACTACAGCCATCAAGAACTCTTAATTAACACAAGCAACTACATGTATAAGGCCATTTCTTTATGCCCAACTCCCAAGAGATAAATTAAGATACACTGCATCAGATCAGATCTAGATATGCTCTTGCCAGTTAACTCCCGACAATGAACTCATTAATTTCTCTCTAATTTGACATGCACATTTCTGCTATCAAAAATTTTCCTTGACCAAAGGAAGGATTCCATATAGTTTCTGACTTGCTCATTAGCCAGGGTACTTTTATTTCTTATGATAAATTAAAAGATTATTTTAATGTAAAAATGCCCTTTACCATATATGAAGGTCTTAAGCATGCTATTTTATGTGCAATGCCAGAAGTAAAAAATCTGGATCCTTCTTTAGTAACAAGACCAGTCCAGCTTGAGTTTATAACAATTTTGTGTAAAGATAAAAAAGGTTCTAGAAGAATATACGATTTGTTTATGTCCCAAGGACAACATAAACCTTCGTGTGAAAAGAAATGGACAAATGATTTATCACTACAAGATGACTTTAATTGGAATCAAGTTTATATTAATCTTAAAAATCTAACAAAAGATACAACATTGTTTTGGTTTCAATACAGAATTTTACACAGAATACTTGGTGTGAAAAGATATTTGTTTTTTTCAAAAATTATTGATAATCAAAAGTGTGCACTGTGCTCACAGGAACCTGAGACATTAAAACACTTATTTTTTGAATGTGATTTTGTCAAGATAATCTGGTCATCCTTAGAAGATTGGATTTGTTTAAAATCTGGTAGAACATTGCAATTTAATATACAAAATGTAATCCTCTGTACTGCAGACATTGATGTGGGTTTGAATGTTATTATTGTATTAGTAAAAAAATATATCTTTCAAACATCAAGAAAAAAGTGTACCATTTTATTTAATGATTTATTATTGTACTTGAGTAATTATTTTGTTATAGAAAAAAAAGTATATGATGTTGAACAATTTGAAAAAAGATGGTCTAATTGGAAATGTCTTTTTCAAAGTAATGACTAAGCATTGGAGTTTTATACTATTGTTATATTGACTGATATTTATTTAATGACTAAGCATTGGAGTTTTATACTGTTGTTATACCGACTGATATTTATTTCACCTCCCTTCCACATGTAATATTGTGTGAGTCTCACTCTGTATGTAAGTGTGTGTACATCTGTATGTGAGTGTGTCATTAACTACATTTAAATGTTTGCTTCTGAACATATATGTAATGTGTTGTTTCTGTAAATTGAAAAAAAAAAAAAAAAAAAAAAAAATTTCCTTGACCAGTGCTTGATAATTATGCCCATGGGACAAACTGAATTCCTCTCAAATCATTAACATTTGTTACAGAATTTCTTGTGAAGTATATGATAAAAAATAAGTTTTTACTTAATTTAGCATTTTTTAATAAGGATACAACTATATTTTCACATTTTTCAGGATTATGAAATTTAAAATTTTAAAGACTTAGTTTTTTTTAAAAAATCACTTAAATTAAAGGTCACAGTGACCTTGAAATAGGTCGTGACACACCGTCTACCCAAGATGCATAAATTGTCCAAGTTTGATGATTGTAAGTCCAATAGTTTTCTAGTTATGAGCCAAACAAAATCACAAAATAAAAAAGAAAAAACGCCTGTAAAATGCAGAAAAATCATCCAATCATGATGAAAATCCCAGGTGCACACCTTCACATGGTGAATAATAAGTGTATAAAATTTCAGACAAATCCATCGGACAGTTTCTGAGAAACGGTCCGGACAAAATCTTGTCTACAGACAGACGGACAGACAGACGGACATGGTGATTCCAATATACCCCCCTAAACTTCGTTTGCGGGGGTATAAAAAAAAAACCAATAAAATAAAGCTGACTAAAAGGAAATTACTGAAAATGGATTAAAAAAAATCATTTAATTAAATAGTTATCTCACTTTCTTTGTCTCCTGGCTTTTAATCTTGTCTACCCTCTTCACAATGGAGTCAGAGAGACGTGACAGATATCGGGGGTGACGATCCACCAGCAAGGACTTCTTCTTGTGGTGGAGTCCATACACAGCTCCCACACTTCCTCTCCTCATTTCCGGCGACATTGTGTAACTCTCCTGAAACGCCTCCCGGCTCGGATCGCGTGAGGCCTTCCCCTCACTGTTCATGTGGAAACTGTAACACCTTGGACGCAATTGAGAATGATCATCCATGCCCATGGATCCAGAGCGAGATCTGAAGTTGGGGGATCCTGGTTTTGGAGAAGTTGATGGAATGGGAATAAAATTGTCAGAACTGAACATGGGGCTTCCTCTTAAGCTGTTGCCTGCACTATGAGATTCTAATGAACCAGGTTTGAGCTCTGGACTCCTGGTCTCCAGAAAGAAATGTGGGGGTACAGGGCTCGATGCAGCACTACCTGCCAGTGAGGGTGGCATGCTATTCCCACGTAATGCCCCCTTCTCCATTTGGAATCTCTCACCAAGATTATTGATCTTCCTATCCATGTAGTCTTTGTCCATTGTGTAACGTCTGCGTTCCTCTATGGTGTGCAAACGTGGTCGGGAAAGGGTGTCCCGCTCCAAAGTGTGACATCTTCTGATTGGCTGATCTGTGACAAAACCATAGTAACCAAGGGAGTCCTCACGGTAAAATGTTCCATATGGTGTTTTCAGAAGCAGATGGGGGTGTGTTGTTTCCAGGGAGTGGCGCTGTGGAACTATGGGTATTCCATCAAAGATGCCTGAATCGTATCCAGTGGCCCCCGACAAACTAGTAGGTATGGAGGAGTTATCCGATACCGTTGATCCTTCAGAACTGTAAAGAGAAGGAATCAAAAGAAACTATACATATTTTGAAAGCAACTTTGCCAATACACATTCTATAAAATTGGGCTAACTCAAAGCAGTAAACACTAGTGAACTTTTAAGAAGGATAATTACATCGATGAATCCACTTGGTCGTGACCATCCATGGTTCCAATAGTGTGCTCCGAAGTCTTCTCCATGCCATTCTTTTCATTTTGACCTGAAGTAGATAATTTAAGGAAGTGCAATTATCAGTGAGTCTTCATGAAAAACATATCACATTTATGTCAGACTCTGTTCTTTGTTTATTTGAAATGACTTTCATGTTTACTATCATTTTCTTTCAATTCTTTGCTAATTTTAACTGACTCTGATTGTTGACATTCGATGTGACTTTTAGACAACCATATTCATATCAGCCTAACTAAAATTTTTAACCAGTCTTTTATCTTGTCCTTTGAATACATTTTTTTCTTACCGATAGACTTTTCCGAGTGCAGAGTATTTAAGGTTCTCAGATCTGTTGTTTTCATCAGGAGTTTGGCAAACAGTGTGTTATCTTCCTTGTGATTGGCTGCGATCATCGTCTGAAGACACTCAGTTAACTTCATCTGGAAGCTTTCCAAATGCTCAACATTTCTTAACCCTGGACGATCTGAAAAAAAGTTACAAGTTTAATAGTAAGAGATACCATAAACAGACTATTATTTGTGCCATCTTTTATTTGCAATTCATCAGTTTTAAATCAATCTGTGGCGAATAATTTTCATGACTGAGGAAACATTCTCTACAAATACAAAGCTAAATAAATGGTTTGTGGCATTTAAAATTGGCGAGTTTAAAAAGGATGTAAATCTTGCAGAAATTTCTCGCACACAATTAAAAGTTGTTTTACAGTAAATGCAATATTTCTAGTAAACAGTTCAAACATTCAGTTGTGTAGAATTTCACTAATGTTCGGGTTCTTCTTTTATGCCTTAAGTTCTAGCAGCATGACAGCTTTTAATATAAAGGTCTACAGGTAGGGTGTGGCCAATGACATTTATCTTGCATGTTATTTGAAGACAGCTATTAAATTCATTCCTCATTTACTTCATACTTCATAATTTTCTATTGTTAAATGTAGACAATAAGAAAATTTTCCATCAAAAATGCTTTAAAATTGAGCAAATTTAAAAATTTATGTCCAGCGGAATAACATGATTTTGATGTAAGTTATTGTGACGTAGGCAACATATGTCATACCATATTATAAACTAAAATCTTATCCCATCAAATGATATAACAACCAAAATTTAAAAGCATAATGGTAATGAAAAGTTGTACACGGTTTAAAAAAATATTCATATTAGGCTTAACGACCAATAGTAAAACATTATATTCCTCACACGTGAATATCAATAATTAATATGAAGTGTAAATAAACCAACAAATATCAAGTTAACATTTATCTGTTAAATTGTTTTTTAAAGCAAATATTTATTTTATTTCAGCCTATTTTCAAGCACCTTTCATAACAAGACAATCCCAACTTTCTCTTATAACGTCTTGACTACATGACTTAAATCAACACAATGACGCACATGTAAATATAAGGCTAAAACATATAATATCAACACTGTTAATTAAAAAGCCACACTCCTTAATAAAAACTACTTGTACTACTCTACCTCATAAAGCAGATTTTGCAAAGCATGTCAAAATCATTACAAGTTCATTGGTAATAATAATTAACTGTGAATTTATTTGTTAATTACATTAGGTATAAATAATCCTTTTAACACGTGTTTAAAAAATTCTCCCCTACCTGGAGACAGTAGGACAATGGCAGAGAAAATGGCGATTTCTTCATCGGTCAGATTCAGTTTGTTAAACCGATCGGCAAAGTCAAACATGGAATCTAGCAAAAACCCAGCACTGCTTGACACCTACAAAAAAGGAAAAGTCAATTGATATGTTTTTCTAACCTTCTCTAGAAAATTAGGAAGCAATTATTTATCATAAGAGTCACAACCATTTTAAAATTCTTACAGAAAACCACTTCAGTAAAACATGTTTGGTGAGGTGATAGAAATTGATTCGTCAATGAAAAGCCCTCTGCTATGAGCATGAATTCATTATAAGCATATTTACTATAACCCTGTCTTACTGTACAACTGCATTTTCAAAAATTTATAGTGTGCAATTAGTGAAATCAAAACTGTTTTGAAATAAATGCAAAATTCAAAAGCAAAGCCATTATTACAGAGCAAATCCTATAGAACAATTAAACTGTTATTTTTACTAAAAATAATTAAATTATAGGCCTATCAGTGCAAAGTACAGTGAAACACAATTTTAATGAAGTAAACTGGATGAACTATTTTGTTCCATAAAAAGCATAATTCACTGTATCTGTTGACAATTAATGTATTTGAAAGACAATTAAGGGCAATTACAATCACTTCAGTGTAAGTATTAATTCATATTAAGAATGTTCACTCTAAGCGTGTTTTACTGTAGTACTACATGATTTCATAATGAGGGTGTAATTGTTAATTATATCATTTCATGTCAATCTTTGTCCATTTGTTCCTTATTTTCAACAGGGTCAGTATTCTTAAAACCGTGTCCTAGTTTGCTGAATGATACAAGACTGCTTTATATTTCACAACAGCTATACACACTAAACATGATATCCCACTACATGATACACTACAAAATATAGAAACCAAAGATAAACGCCTATAGTTTGGTGATTATCACCCTGTTTCCACACACTGAAATCAATTGTCCTATTCTCTACCCAGCCCTAACCCAATAATTACACAAATATACACCAGTAATGATCGTTTCTCAATAAAAGCAACACTATTATCACTATAGGTTCTTGACTTGATGGTCATTTATTTTTTCCTCTCAGAAAATAAAACCTGAATTACATGTACCGGTAGATTCATTTTCCTACAGAAAACTTTAAAACTGTACATATATTCAAATGGCATAGGTACTGTAAACGTTTCTTTCATGTACCTAAAGCTATGCCTTATAATATTGAAAGGATTCTGATTCCTCAGTTCTTCCACTTTCAGAAAGCTGGTTAAATATAAATCTAAGCACAACTGGAACACCAATCCTTCTTTTTTTAAATATTTAGATCACTGCTTAATTTACCTGGGAGATCTCTCTTTTGAACATTTTGCCGCAGGTGAACATCATTGTGTTGGATTCAGGATCAAATAGGCTGGCCATGCGTACCAACAGAACCTCAAATGTAGCTGCCTACAGTACAGAAAACACAGGTCTATTGTCACTGTCAGGTAACAGACTGTAAACGCATACATTTAGCGGTGCATTCTATTTAGTGATTTTGGCGGAAAGCAGAATCCGTTAAATCAAGTACACTGCTAAATGTCATGTATACTTTTATCATAGGTTATACAATGTATCTAGCACATTCAGATAGAGCTGAATCAAATTTACGCTAACTTGTGGAAAATTTCATATCTGCCATAATACATTCACAGTACACGATTACCCAAAATACAACTTTGTGTAGTGGTATAGTAGCGAGTGCTCAACTGAATCTTTAGCCTAATGTCACCCATTGTTATGTTTGAACACAAAACTTTGTAAAATACTATAGTACAGTGTCCTTTGACAAAAGGTGCACCAAATAAATATGTAGGACTCCAAAGTGCGATGGGACTCCAAAGTCCGATGGTCACGCCAAAGTCCGATGGTCTGCGCCAATCCCCGATGGTCTGACATGCCAACGTACGATGGTGCGGAGAAACAATGAACGTTTATGATGTCATAGTAATTATGCGCCAAACTATAAAGCCGCACCATGCGAAGGTTTTTAATAAGTATTAACATTTATTATTAGGCAAAAATTAATCCTTATCTCTCAGATAGGTGCAAAACTAACCTTAATCAAATTTAGGCTTAACAGCTATATAGAAAATATCTTTGGTGGGTGCGAAATATTAATAACTTGACTAGTGTGTGAGGACTAACCCTATATCAAAGCAATTTAAAAGGACTGACCCTAATCAGTTATGTGGTGTGCGAGGATTAATCCTAATATCTCTGAAAAATATGTAAGCAATGCGCAAAATAAATAAAAGCGCATGCAAGGATACATTTGGAAATGATGGCATTTGAATGCATGAAAAAGGCATCATTACAACTGAATTATTGTGACGCCTAATGTTTCTCCGAACCATCGGACTTTGGTGCAACGTGTCTCATAGGAAACGAGCCATCGGACTTTGGCGTCCGTGACGACAACGAACCATCGGGGTTTGGCGCAGACCATCGGGTTTTGGCGAGACCATCGTGCTTTGGCATCACCATCGCACTTCGGAGTCTTACAAATATAAATAACACAGGCAATAAGAAGATAATTTTGGCAAAGTCCTGATTCTATGACAAGCATTGTTAATGGAAAAGTTTTTGATGAGAGTGTTGGTGTTATTAATGTTGTTTACGATAATGTTAAAATTATTGCATTATGTTATTGGGTAGGGCTGTCACGGGTAACCGAAATGACCGAGAACCACAGAACAATTAATTCGGGTCGGGTTCACTTCTATTTTTCTGGAATTCTGTTCATTTCCGATTTGTATCATAGAGTAGGTTTTACGATTAAAATAGCATCTAAAACGAAAGGATCATTTGTACATTGCCATCATAAAGTGATTTGAATCATTTTGTTCAATTATTTTTCTAGTCAGGAAACAACTTAAAACTAGTCATTATGTTGCTGTTACTTAAATTAAATAAAAATATTTTTTTTTTTGTGGAATATAATTTAAATCATGACTTTTTATTCTATTGTATACCCAAACTGAAAAAACCCAAAACTGAACCTAAAATAATAAGAACTAACCTGACTCGAAAAAATATGGAACCATGACAGCCTTATTGTTGGTGTTGTTGTTATAACACAAAGTTGTTGATGATGGGAATGTGTTTTTTTTCTAAGATTGGCTGTTAGCAGTTCTCATCATTATATTTGAGCTGACAATGGAAGGCAATATTTATCAAGCAACAAACTGGTAGTTGCTGTTAAAATACTAGGTGTTCCTTTGTAATACAACTAGGGTAATAATTCTCTCCTGTCTTGTAACATGTACTGTGTGATTATGTTGCTGTTCATCATTTTTGTTAAATTCACAATGTAACAAATGCATATACAATTCATTTTTAGTATGTAATATGGTTATATTTAACTTTTTTATCTCTGTGTGATATTTTATTTACCTTTTACAGTGAAATCAAGGTAAAGTAAATCACCTTTAACAGTGTAACTTGATCGTCTTGACTGAGAAGGCAGAAGCCAGGGATAGCCTTAGCAAAGTCCACCACTGACTTGATGGCAGGGGTGAAGAACTCGGACATGTCTGACCATCCCTGGGGGTCCTCCCCCGACTGCGTCACGTTACCATTCAGGGGGCAGGCCTGTATAGACAATAAAATTAAAAGTCATCAAAACAAAATCACACGAATTTGAAATAATGATCAGGGAGGTTGAGTTGCTTTTAAAATATATATAACATCAGTGTATCACGAAATTGGGAAAAGTAAAAATTGCTTCTAGAGAGGTCTTTCAGATATGATAAAGTATAATATGTACATCTTTTAATGGATGTTCTTTATATGGTAAGAGAAATTTGGCAAAGATGCAACTTCTTTATAACAGACATTCCTTATGTCTGAGTCCCTTATAAGCAAGTTTTACTGTAACTACTAAAAATTGTTGTTTTTTTCCTCAGATGTACATGTATATATTTTTAAAGACCTTCCTTAATTTTCTTGGAAATGTCAAGCACAGTCAAACTGTTATGTCTGCAGACTTGTGAACACCATTTTAATCATAATTCTAATTTGAATTTTCTAGAAAAATTTACTATGGGTTATATTAGAGCATCCTAGTCTCCCACGAAGGTTACAAATAAAGAAATGTCATCTTCCAATCAAACCAAATTATTAGAACATAAAACCTGCCTCTTTCACATGAATACAGTTTGATCAAAATTAGGTTTTACTGAAGAAAAAAACTGTTTTTGGAAGATGGGTGTGTGTGTGTGTGTTAAAAAAATACATTTAGTACTAACTCCTTCAGACCTTGACCAATGTACACATCAATTTTGCCTTGTCATTCAGACAGTACAATGTCATATTCTAACATGTTTAACTTATTCCTTAAGACTTTTACCCCAGTATCGTAAATCCCTGGATATTTTTCAGTCCCATCAAGTTTGAGTTGGTGAGATCTAAATGTACTGAGTCTTAACATAAATCCAAACAAAATACCATTTGAGCAGGGCAGTTGACAAATTTCATATACGTTTTACTGCATGTATATAGTGTCAATATAATGCCCTGTTCACACAGAGAGTTTAATTCGCAGTAGATTAATGCGAAGTAAACTAATGCGAATCAAACTAATGTGAATTAAATTGCATTTACACGACAGCTAATGCGAAGTAAACTAATGCGAATTAAAATTTTACTTCTGCAGCCCGGCGTCAGCACAGCTACTATGACATCATTTGGAAAGCACGTCACCTTATGCAGAAGCAGATCCATTTGACATAATGGCAAAGTGTCTGTATGCACATTTAAATGAATAACAAAATTTCCCTTAGTTTTTCACTCAAAAATAGCACAAGTACCTATAGCTGACCACCCACAAGTGGCAAATGACTAAATTTTGCCATTACACATGCGTCAGAATTTAATTTGAATTAGCTTCACTTAGCGTTCACACGGAGCTAATTAATTTTAAATCTACCATTTGAGCGGGGCAGTTGACAAAGTTATTGTTCTTGATGGCTTCCTCTCTCATCTGGCGTACGTTGTTGAGGGTGAAGACACACGTGACGTGGTGGGCGCTGACGATGGCCTGAATCAGGTCGCGGCTGTTCTGAAACATCGTCATCATCTGACTGGTCTGGGAGTGCATCGTGTTCTTCTGCATTTGTTCAATGATTCGAGCCTTCTCCTTCTTTGGGACTCGACCGAATCGCACAGCTGTTCAAAAATCATGTTATCTTTAGTCTTTTACATTTAATATATGACCTTTTTTTTTCAAATACTTATAATGCAAACTTACCATTATATTTCTGTAAAACTTAATGGATATTTTGTTTTTAGTAAATATCATTAATTGGAGAAGTGTACTTGTAATAAGTTATCAATTAAAATAACTACAATGACCAGTTTATGATGATCCCCTTGATAATGAAATTATCTTTTTTTAAATTTATAATATTTGATATCACTTATTAATACAACTAAAGGATTAATTTAACACAAAAAATTAATTTAAAATTTAATTTTTTTTTTTCAGTTTAAAAACAAATATTTTTGCAAAAACAGTGCCTCTCTATTAAAAGCATGATTTTTTTTTAGGACACATGGAAAATTTGAAAATTGTACAACTTTTAAATCATTTTTTATGTGAAAAATATAAATGAGCCATTACAACTATTTTTTATTTAATTTCAATTCAGTACTAATTGCTATATAGAAATTCAACTTACAAACTTGCACATGATACAATAATTACGTTTACATTGTCTTATTCTAAAAAATATTAAAGATAATTTAATTGTCTAATTGACATACACTTGATTTCATCTCAATTTCATAATATTTTAACTGGCAAACTTTACAATTTTTTTCCCCCCTCTCAAAGTATAGTGATTCCTATTTTATAGTTTGACAGCATTGTCTTTAACCCAGCTAACAATTAACACGTTTCTATGTGTTTTACCTGCATACCCAGTAAAATTGACAAGATAATCCCTAATTGCCCCAAGCTATAAGCTACTTGTACCTGAACAACTGTGTGCATTCAAGCGTGAAGTGATTTCCTGTGGTTAATTAACATAGATATATTGCAATGTTGATTTTTTAAACATGGTCTTTTATAATCGGAAATTTTATTGTATTTTTTGCTTTGATCGGGAAGGCTGCGAATCGGGAGGAAAAATCGTGAAAGTTGGCAAAACATCAAAATGAATTTGTAAAAAACATTATAGAAATTGTAACACAATTGAAAAACACGGCCATTTTATTATTTTTCAGTACATCAAGAAAATGCTTAGATTTGAAATATAGTGATATAATTATTTTATAGTGAACAAATGAATTATATCGCCATTACTATAGAAATTATTTTTTTGTTGATACACGTTTTGCCTGTTAAAAAGTATGCACTCAGCACACACACATTACTCTCTAGTAGTAAATTCTATGTTTTACCACTGAATATATACCATTCTATATGTTTTCTATGAAAAGCGTTTTCAATTTGCAACACCAAAAAATGGAAAATTCGTGAATGAAAACAGAAAATACATGTAAAATAAAATTATAATGTGTCATCAGTTATATAATCTATGAAATTATGTGTCTGCGAAAGGAATATCACATGCTAAAAAGTGATTACATAAATATGTTTGTTTGAAATTTTAGAATGAAGGGACACCCACCTTGCATCCTTCACAGGCATGAACACCATAGTGAAATCCGCTAGCCTTATCTCCACAAACTCGACATAGCACCGTGTCCCCATCAAACTCTACAAAACAACAAAATATAATTATTCTACAGAAAATTGTCTCACAAATCTATCAAGTTTAGTGGAACAAACTGATTCCTCTAATATATGTAGCAATGGAATTCATTTTTTTTAAACAAAAAGCACATATAAAGAAACAAGAGGCCCACGGGCCTCATAGGTCACCTGAGTATCATGAAACAACTTTCCAAAATATTGAATTTGGTCTGTGTTTTGAACCAGATGCCATGAAAATCACAATTTAGTGCCATTCATTGCTTATCATAATAATACACTTAGAATGCTTACTCTAGTTAGCTTGTTTAATATCGAGGAGCAGAGAAGAAGATTTTTGAAGAATTAATGTTTTTTAATTATACAATCAATACAGCCCCGCCCTCAAACCATAACTCCTGACTCTGGGGCCATGAAATTCTCAATTATTGAAGAGGCACTCTTGCTCATCATAACTATGTTCTTAGTTAGTTTATTTAATACCCAGGAGCAGAGAAGAAGATTTTCAAAGAAATAATGCACTTTTACTATATGATCTATATAGCCCCGCCCTAACACCAGAACCCCTGACCCAGGGGCTATGAAATTCACAATTATTAAGAGGCACTCTTTCATCATAACTATGTTTTTTTATCTAATACCCAGGAGCAGAGAAGAAGATTTTCAAAGAAATAATGCACTTTTACTATATGATCTATATAGCCCCGCCCTAACACCAGAACCCCTGACCCAGGGGCCATGAAATTTGCAATTTTTAAAGAAACACTCTTGGTTATAATAACTATGTTCCTAGTTAGATGATTTAATACCCAGAAGCAGAGAAGAAGATTTTCAAAGAAATAATGCACTTTTACTATATGATATATATAGCCCCACCCTAACACCAGAACCCCTGACCCTGGGGCCATAAATTTCACAATTTTGGTAGAGGACTCAATGCTGATTACAACCATGTCAACAGTTAGACTGCTTGATGTCCAGGAGTAAAGAAGAAGATTTTTAAAGATTGCATTAATTTTAGTGGTTTTGGCCCCACACCTCAGGCCCCAGGGGGGCAGGGACCATGAAATTCACAATTTTTGTTCCCCTTCAGCAATAGATGTTGTATACCAAATTTGGTTGAAATTGGTTCAGTAGTTCCAGAGAAGACGTTAAAAATGTTAAAAAGTTTACGAACGACGTACGATGAACGACAAACTGATTCCTCTAATATACGGATAGCAACAGGTCATTTTTTTGAGTTTACTCAGGTGACCTAAAGAAAAAAAACATGCCAAATATTTCTAAAATAGTTTAAAGGGGCCTGGACACAGTTTCAACTGATTTTGTTAAAACCAATTTTAATATTTCCAATTCCTACCTAAGGCATAATCTATTGATTAGCAAACATTTGAGCATCATTTGTTGATTAACAAACAAGATACAGAACTTAAAGTTCTTCATAATGTTATAGGCTCGTGCCTTGTTTTTGTTTACATATAGAAAATATCATATTTATAACAAAATGAAGTTCAGCAAATCAATAGTAACTGTCGAATCGTATTTAAAACTAACTTTTATTTGAAATTATATACTTTGAACGAACATATATTAGTATATTAACCTGTGTAAACAAAAACATGACACTAGCCTTGTTTACATAACAAAGGTTTTGAGCTCTAAATCTGTCTTGTACCTGGACAACAGGCGTTCAAATTTTTGATGATCATTAGAAAGATCCTAGTTAAATATTTGTAAAAATGGAAAAATAAATTTTGAAATTTTAGCCGAAACTGTGTCCATGCCCCTTTAATATGACATCCCCCCCCCAAACAATAACTCAAGAAAGGTAACTCTATCATAGGCTACAGTAAAACTCTGTTATAAAGAACTTATTTATAGTGAAATATCATTATATTTCAATGAATCTCCCAGGTGACGTTGCTTTAATAACTAACAAACTAGAAATTCTTCTTGATTAAGAGGCCCAGGGGCCACAACACTCACCTGAGTTACTGTGGCCCTGCTGTTTTTCATCAGCAGATTATTTCCTATATCATCACCATGTAAGACTTTATAAACACATATTCAGAAGATTTTTTATTTATTTGTATGTAAAACTTTGATTGTAGCCCCATTCTATATCTGGGGGTCATGTTTTGAACAAACATTTTGTAATGAAGCTTTCACATAAGCTTCTTTCTTCTGGCGAAGTGGTTCTTCAGAAGACATTTTAAAAATGCCAAAAATTTTCATAACTTCTCAAACTTAGGACAGGGCTCTTCAGTTAAAAAAACAAAAACAAAGTTGAATCAACTTAACCCGATGATACTTTGTGGCGAGTTTAATGGAATTAGGTCAGATTTAGGTTCTGGAGAAGAAATTGAAATGTGAGAAGTTATAAATTAAATTAAGTCCAGAATCATTGTCTTTAACGTACAGTTTGCTATATACAGTAAAACTCAGTTATAACGAAGTCATTTGGGACATATGAAATAACTTCGCTATTTCCGTAATTTATTTTATCCATCTAAGGAATTCGTTAAATTTATATAGCTGGGGATAAACAAGATAACTTCGCTATATCCGTAATGATGTTCGTAAAGAGAAAACTTGTTCGTACTAAACAAGTTTTGCTGTACTAATAATTTGATTTTCAGATGAAAGACCAAGGTCTTGTGTGCATTTTGACACAATATTTTATGATGATTCATCCCTAAACTGTAAATCATATATCTGGCTAAGAGTTTTCTTGTCAAGGTGACTTTCGGGTCATTATAACAAAACACTCTTCCCTAAAGGGAATCAACTAACACTTAAAGGTCCATAAACTAAAAAACTTTGGTGAATCTTTGTCTTATACTCTACACATTATGACCTTGACATGATTTGATTAAGCATAGCTAAACAATTCCAAAATGAGGTCACAATGACCTACTTTTGGATCAAGACAAACTTCCCTCCAAAGAAGTGCCACTTGACAAAAATTGTTGGTTCCATAAAAAAAAAGATCCAGACATACATCAACATGTGTGTTTTAACGTTGTATGGCAGTAAAATTTTTGAAAATAAGGTCACCAATATCTACTTGCAGGTTGCAATGGTATACAATATGCCCAGTTTATGTGCATTTTTTTAATATTCACAAAATATTATGCCATTTTCTGGAAATGTAAAATAAACAATATGTGTACAGTTACATGATATTGATAGATTCAGCATTTGATGGATTTTTTTGGTAAAAAAAATATTTTGACGTCACCCCTCTAATTTTGTTTGTTTAAATTCTATATTCCTTTGGTTCCTGAAAAGATATCAAATGATTCTCAATTCCTAAACACATTTTAGATATGTAACTATATTATTTTTACTCTCCATCAAAGAATCTGAGCATGGCTGCAGCATAACATTCAATGTTATACTTAACAAAGAAAAGCAGCATACAAAACATTTTTTACAACTTGTAGACAAATTAATGTATACCACAGTAAAATATAATAATCCCTTTTGAAAAAAAATTGATATTTTTAGCATTTCTAACAACTTCTCAAATTTAATATGCACATGAAACTATTGTTTCGACAAATCCATATTGGAAATCTCAAAAAAAAAAAAAAAATTAATATTACCTGACTCTTCACTGCATTTCCCCAATCCTCTCATCTGATTCAGAAGTTTGATTAAATTAAACATTTTCCACTATTCACAACACTTTCTTTTTCTAGCAAAAATTTAGAAACTGAATCATGCACTCCAAAATAATGACATTTTTTTTGCTCCTCAACAATGGGCGAAATCTCCACACCAGTAACAGTATTCTAGCCGTGGTACACAATAGTCTGTAGTCTATAGAAATGAGGTGGTAAGATAGCATAGGTGATAATAAGACTGCTAATGAATATGACGTTAGGCAAGGAAAAAAATTGGGACAACGATAATGAATTTCCATGGCAACCAAATATCAATGACAACTTTTTTGACCGAAAAGTAGACAGACATAATTTTTTTCTATTGAAAGCATTATATGGGTATATTTATATAACTCATGCCAACTGGTTTATATAAAACAAGTAGTACGTTTTCATTCTCTGCACATCAATTTTTTTTATTTGTAACAGGTCATTTTTTTTTCAAAAAGGTCGGTTATACATCTCATATAAATCACAAGTTCCAAAATGCTGCTGTTAGGCATAAATTTGTTCCTCTCAAATTTCAAATTTTTGAGGAACAAATTAGAGAGATAGCTTATAAGACTTGATTAGAGATAGCTTACAACTATATACGAGACTTGATCCAAAAGTAATGTCACAGTGTCCATATCTTTTATATTTGGCGTCATATTATCACATATAATATACCAAAAGATGCACAAATATAAAATGAATTTAACTTGAATTTTTCATTCAATAATGTTTAACTAAATTTATTTTATAGATGTTTAAAACATAGAACATATGGGGGGTCGCCGCGTCACAACTGAACGTCACAAATTAAAGTGTACTTTTTTTAATTAAAGAAGACAAACACATTAAGAAACATCTATTAAAAGCGCCTAATCACAAAATATTTAAAAAGACAAAAATTTACATCATTTTTTAGTCTTAAGTAGAAAAGTATATGACATAATTGCTATTTTTCATTTTAAAAACATCGTTGTTTTACTCCGGTGCATTGCATTGAAAAAAAGGAAATGCCTAAATGGGCAAAGAAAGCCAGAACAAACTGTAATGCATTTTAGCTTCAAAATGAAGAAATCGCCAGAAGAGACAGTAACGTTGATTCACCAGTCTCACAGAGGAAAGAATGTAAATAAGAGACTTGTTTAGATAGTTTCAGCGATTTTGGATAGGTGATGAGTCATTGAATGCTCAGCAGATGACAAGAAGAGCGAAAGATGAGAGGACGGACGGAAACGTTCAATGGTGTGTGGCGTTGTCAAAAAAGACGGACGGTAAGAGCGATATGAGACATTTTTTTAAGTTGGTCTTGTACTACTGTTCAAAGAATTTTGACAGAATTAATTATGGAAAGAGTGAGTGTACGATGGGTAGCAAGTTTTCTTTAAGAAGGTGAAATTTGTGAATGTATTCGTGGATCTCTCATATTTTTAATGAAACAAAGGGAAGCGTTTAAATGTACAACGTCGTGTATCTGTCATATGACGTTATTTAGGTGCGGCGACTACCATAATCGCAATTTGTATATAATCCGATATTTTGAAAAGCATAAATCATGCTGAATTGAAATTTTCAGGTCTGATTTGAAATAAATGTAGCTTTCATCATTAATAATTTTGTTGTTTTACGTCGACGGGTAGCGATTTTATCGAAGTTGTGACATTACTTTTGGATCAACCCTCGTAATATCTTTTATTTCAATTAACACCTTTAATTACTTCCTTTTGTATATTGTGGATTGGTTTTCATAAATGATTCATCTTTATAGGTATCATAACAAAGACAGAGGATTGCCCAATGAACTTGGCTTAAGCTACTAGGTGCTGGAAAAACTGGTAAACGTTTGTGGTCAAACTCATGAACTCATAGCTTTAAATTAGTACAGCATAGATGTCTCTAACTGGAATTTCCTTCTCATCAACGATTAATTTATCTTGGTATTTCTTAATTTGTCAAATTTATCAAAAAATTCCCAAATAAAAAATAAAATAAAAAATCATGACACTGGAAAATCCAATTTCTTTGATATGTATAAAAATTAACTGATTCATTGTTTAATCAAGAAGTCACAGTAGTTGCAATGTAGATTGTCGTAAAACAAAACAAATGATAGCTATTTTCATTATGAAAAAGGTATTTACTGTAAATAAATATATTTACGTTTACAACTGCAAAAATATCTTTTCTTTAATGAGACTGCTAACGAAATTGACATTCAATTTTCGATGACTGTTGATCACACCATCATGCGTAATGGAAAACAAAGATACGAGACATTTTGAAGCTAGGCTCTAGACTGTAACATCACTTGTTGTTGTTTTATTGTTATGTAAAGTTTGTTGTGAACTGTCGCAATTTTAATGTATCTTCTAGAATTTTGATGATGTACATATATAGTCTAGAATGTTCTCTATGTTTCGTGAATGAATTATTAAGAAGTCTCTAGAATATGTTCAAATGTAATTTCCTAGAATTTTATACAAATTTCTATTTCTAGATGTTTCTTTCATACTATATAAATGAAAGGGTTTTTTTTGTGACTTTAGGGAATTAGAAAATTATTGATTATTACTGAGTTTACATTAAGTTTGAGTTTAAATTGAAGAAATATTGAATACATATCAGAAACCATCTGATTATCTAAACCAATGTGGTATTTTGATCGTTAACCCTTGTAGATTTGTTTTGCCTTTAATCGTCATAATAAATTATAAAAAGATGATTTCCGTGTGATTGTGATTTGCCACAAAGTTGACATGAAGTTTGAATGTGATCAACTCTACTACAACACTTTTCTTGAGAAAAAAAAAATCATCAAAATAGTCTAGAAACCAAATAAGTTGCCAAAGCAGTCATATTGTTGTTTCTGTAGTGTCCGAGTCAAAATTTTTGTCTCTTAATTGCCAAAATATGTAGAGCTTTCTATACTTTTTTAAGATTAACTTTAAATATGAACCTTATATTGTTTCCTTATTATGGTTCTGAATTGATACACAAAGCGTAATGCTATATTGTTTATATAACTATAGAGCTTTTAAGTTTTATCACGTGCATAAGGAGAGCGGACCACGTGACAACAAATGATGTCATATCATTTAAAAGTTACACGTTGTCTTGTGTTGTTTTGATTGGCTTTAGCTAGAGTAGGAGCGCTAAATACCATCTTTTAGTCTAAGAAAATGAAATCAAATAGTGTTGTTAGAATCAAAGAGCATCAGCCTTTGTATGTTAATTTTCTGACATTCAGATAAAAGTCCTCACTAAATGGACATTTTATGAGTCAATCTGTTTTTCAAAACTCGGATCCAACCAAGCTGTCCTAAGTAAGACCCTGGAGCCAAGGAATTTTGCTGACTTTAACTATGTTATCATTTAGTTCTTCTTGTACCCTCCCCCCCAAACTCCCTGCTAGGGGAGGGAACCCTCAGGCCCCTGTCTACTTTAATGTCCCTTGCTACTTCAATTCTTTTAAAGGCAACCTTGCCTTCTGAGGCTCCACCCTAGCCTCAGGGTTCACAGTTTATAAGAATCTGATTCTATACTACAAAAGATGCCATAAAATTAATAATAACTTTATTAATATGACTTGTGGCTCGAAAATATCTTAAAAATATTTCCTTAAGTATTACTTCATTAAAAAAAAAATAATTACTTAATAAAAAAATTACTCTTATGGCATCAACCTAGCATGGGGTTCATAATATGAACAATTTGAATTCAGGAGCTTTAAGGTATGATAATATTATTATGGGTTTTTTTGCACCAAAATTTCACTATTTCTAAATATCTCCCCTTAAAAAAAAACAGGTTTGGTTTTTCATTTTCCATTCATCTAAGGATGCATTGTAGCAAATTTGATTGAAAATGAAACAGTTGTTCTGAATACAAAGTTGAAACTGTGAAAAGTTTCCATACTACTAACAACAAACAGACGATACTGGGCAATCTTCCATCAGAAAAACTCAGTAGAGCCTAGTTTGGCTTAGGTGAGCAAAAAAGACAATAAAAAGTCCGCTACAGTCACCTGAGTATAAAGTATTTCTACAGATATTCTAATACATACTGTGTCTCCTTTACAACTAAGGTTTTCAATGCGTAAGTGGTTACAAAAGTTTGCATCAATTTTAAGTACTTTAACTTCTTGAAAAAAACAAACTATAAATTATTTCATATTTATACCAATACTTTTTTTCTTTATTACTATCTTATTTTTAGAATTTATCTTTCTGTTATTTTAAGTACCTAATATGAATTTTAGACTCTTCTGACAATTTATTCATTAGCACGTTACGATGTTATATTTAATGAATTCACAAAATTAAAAACATTGACTATGTTATAAGTATAATTATGTAAATTTAAAAGTAGAGAAAATACTTCCGTCTAATATGGAAAATCCGCATGGAAATATTTTAAACAAATAATAATAATGTGAAGATGAATTTTCTTACTGCTTACATGAGAGGGAAAATTAAAGAATATGACAAATCATACAGTCAAGCCCCATTATCTCAAAATTAATGGGGCCAAGGAAAAACTTCCAAGATATTGGAGGATTCAAGAAATGTTTGTTGTTTAACATCTCTCTCAATAATTTTTCACTCATATGGAGACGCCATCACTTGGCGGTGGAGAGCTACAAATGTTCCCTTGCCTATCAAAATATACTACGACACAGGACCTCGGTTTATACAGTCTCATCCAAAGGACCAGTCTCTTCGTCCCACAGTGGGATTCGAATTCTTGACGTAAGGATCATTTCCTTACTCCTGACTTTAGAGCAAAAGCTCTACCATGGTACCACACGGGCGACAAGATATCTAGTTAAATACTAAATAATAAGTGATTAGGATTTTTTAAAAACACTTTTTGGCGTAACTGTTTCCTGCAATCTCTGCCATGTAAAAAATGACCTTGAAAGATCTTCATCAACTCTCTCTCAGTGAGAAGTGATAATTTCATCAACAACACACTTCAAATGTAGATCCTTCACTTTTAGCTAAGATATAAGAAGAAAATATACAGTATACTTTTAATTGTAATGACCTGACCTGACCTTGGTGACCTTGATCTAAAGCACTAAATCACCTGACCTCATTGCTTTGACATACCTTAGGGCTAATTATCACTTTGTAAAATGTGTAAGCCTAATATTTCTAGACTAATCACCCAGAAGACTGTACATGTACTGTAAAAGTACCCCTGAAAGTACACACAATATTGACATTTTTAGAGACTTTGTATCTCATCCTGATTTTCATCTCAGATTTTTTCACCCTTCATTTATATAAAAAAAATTCTTCCAGCGGATTCAATAGTTCCATTAGAAGAAAGTTCATGTGCACTTTCTGACAATGGACAAAAATGAAAAGCAAAAGGTCACCTGAATGATTCAAGTTTGAAATTAATTAAAAAAAAAAAAATTTAAATATAGAATATGCTGAACCTAATCCATCCAAGCTGGCTTCTTTTCCCATTGTTGTCATATTATGCTGAAAGGATTTGTCTGTATATGCTTTCCAGTACACCACACATCAAACCATTTCACCTGCAAATAACAAAACAGACTTATATAAATATTACCATGATAACAATTATTGCATATTCACCAATGAAGTATTCAACTGCTTTTTACAGCAATTGGTGGCTGATTATAATTCATATATTATCATGATTATTACCATAGTTGATATTTTCAAATGTTTTGTTTGATTGGACAGAAAAATTAATCAACAAAAATGAGATGTCTATATATATCTTAAAAAATAAATAAAAATCTTTCTTTTTTGGGTACAATACAACTTACCATAAATAAACCACCTCATGTAAAATCTTTGTTTAATAGTAAATCACTACTTGAATAAAGTAAAAACATCTAATGTAGTTTCTTTTTTTTTTTTTAGATGTATATCCATCATATTCCACTTCACTTACGGATCAAAACTTAATCCATGTCTGTGGTACTTCTGATTGGCCATGAAGATTTAGCTGAAAAAGAGTCAAAGTTTAATTAAATAAAATAAATAAGTATTTCCATTTGACATTATTATCCACAAATTGTTCATTATTTGTATACTACTTCAAAAAATTTCAAGCAAGTATAACATCTGAAAAAAAAGTTTTGTTTGTAAAACACTGATACCCCATACTCCGAGCACCTTTTTGCAAAGGTCAAAGTTTCTCAAATGTAAGAAAATTTCAAAGGTCAAGGTCAAGATACCACTCTCTATTATAATGCAAACAAAATATGTCTCAATAAATAAACAAAAAAGCCCGTGCACAAACCATTCAAACGTTATGGCAAAGGCTAAAGTATTTTAAATTTGGGTCAAATTTTAAGGCTAAAGGATCAAACTGAATATAACCAGGCAAAGGAAGTCCACATCATAAGATATCCACGTGTGAAATATTATAGCCCTAGCATAAAATGTTTTAATCTAATGACAATGTTAAAGTTTTTCAATAGTAAGTCAAATTCCAAGGTCTAGGTCAATTTAAGGTCTGATCGTTTTTAAAAGTATCCAAATGAAGATCTAGTCCCTGTAAAACATGAAAGCACTAACACTAATCGTTCAAAAGTTATGGCCATGAGGTTCAAGTTTTCTTAAAAGTGGGTCAAACTCCAAGGTCAAAGTCAAAATGTCAAAAATATCTATATCCATGGAAAGGTCTTAATTGTCACAATATTCATATGAAATAAGAAAGCCCTGGCACCAACCATTTAAAAGTTATGACAAAGGATAGGTCAATTGTTGCAAAAGTGGGTCAACCACCAAGGTTAAGGTCAAAAGGTCAACATCTTGAAAAAAACAAGACATGTTTGTGAAACTCAATGCCCCAAATGGTAACACAATTCTGGAGTGGGACATAGACTGAGGTGATATTCATTTACGCTTGACAGGGCAATAGTTATGGGATAGGTTAAAGCTGACGACAGACAAACAAACTGACAGACAAACTGACAGACAGGACAAAAACAATTTATCCCCAAGATCTTTGATCTAGGGGCATAAAAAGAAAGGCCATGTTACAAGGAATATATAGCAGAAATATGAAAGCCATATCTCCAACCTATCAGAAGTTTTGGCCAAAGTTAAAGTTTTTGCAGACGAACACACTGAGAGATGGACAGGGTAAAAACTATGTACCTTGAATCTTAAATTATGAGGGCATAAAAATGTTTGTAAAAGTCAAACATTTTTTTAATTACATACACATATGTTGAAGAAATGTTTTTGTCAACATATACATCAAGTAATATTTTGAATATAATAAAGTACAAACTTAACCAATGTGTCAAGGACATGTTAACCCTCAAGGTCATGTGGGTCACTAAAATTGATATCATCTGACTTTCCAAAAATAACCCTTGTTTAAGTTGAAAACAAACAGATGGACTGCCATGTAGACCAAATATTTAGAAACAGGAAGGAAAATCCTGATAACAGGTCTCACTTTTTTTGACCTGACAAAATCATTTCCCTTCATTCAAGTTATTTGATTCAGATGTCTAAAATAAGTTAGAGTGAAATTTACAAAAAAGCAGTTTCTGTGACAAAAAGATGATATACATGCAAATTTGAGGGGGAAAACCTGCAGCCTACCTGAACCCCCCCCCCCAGGCCTTTACACCCAACCCCAACTTCCAATACCCAAATCTGTTTGAATGGGACTTGTGCACATGCCTTTAATAAAATTTCAGAATACCGGTAGCAATGTTTGTTCACATCTTGTCTTGGCTAGATAATCCTTACTACAAGGTCAAAATATGTAGGTATACTACGTACGTTCCATATTTTAAATTTTAAACGTAGTAAAAAAGCATTACGTAATTTTTTATTTGATCATGTACATAAGGCATGCTGTGTATTCAATCCACTCTCTGTCTGTCATCTAGGATTATAGTCTTGAAAAAAAAAATTAACAAAATCAACAATTGTAGAATCTTAAACATGTTTAAACCACAATTCAAACATAGTTCACTTTAAGCATGTTTAAAGTGCATGAGAGCAAGAGAAAAGTTCATTGCCTCTTCATTGTTTAGTCTCTTTAACAAAAGGAATAACTTTTTTCAGGAAAAACATTAAAAAAATCATTTTGTTTGTGTTAATTTAAAGAGGATGGGCATGTCTTCAGTAAAAAGCAACAGACTTCCATCCAATCTATCAGAAATGCTTGTTATTGTTGCCAACATGGTCTTAAAATGTTTCTCTTTGGAGTTTTGCTGGAGTCTTGAAACAACAAAATTCAATGAATTCACCGTTACAAACCAAACTTTTTGTTTATTTGATGTTTTATCAGGGAGACAACAGTTATTCAGTAAAAAGATCAAAAAGTTCTGAAGAGTAAAATTAAAACATTTCAGCATCCTGGAGTCTGAGACCGACCCTCTCTGATATAGCTGATAAGTAATGTCTCCAAGAACTTAAAGACGGGGAAAAGAGCTTTGTTAGCTGAGGAAAGATCAGAACTTCAATGCCTGATCTCATAGATTTCACCAAGACCCTCCCTACAATAAATTTGATGAAAGTTGATATAAACTTGAAATCTAAACATTTAAGATGTGTTTGAGAAACAATGATGCCCCCGTATGACAGCTTATGGCAAAAGTTGAAATTTCTCAAATGCAAGACAAACTCCAAGGTCAAGGTCTAAAGGTCAAAATTGTTGGTATGAAGAGGAAGGTCTTTTCACAAGGAATATATCTGTGAAATATGAAAGCCCAAGTAAAAACTGTTCAAAAGTTAAGACAAATTAATTTGTAATTTTTAATTTGTAAATTTTTACAAAGTGGGTCAAACTCTAAGGTCAAGTTCAAAAGTATTTAAACAAATTGATAGGTCTTGTCAGAATGGATACTCATGCAAAGTATGAAGGCCTTAGGAGTTAGCACCAACTGTTCAAAAGGTTATGGACAAATTGAAGTCTGGTATTTTTTGTAAAAGTGGGTCAAACTCCAAGGTCAAAAGGTCAAATTTGGTGGTACCTAAGAAAGGTCATGCCATAAGGAATACACCTATGAAATATGAAATCCATAGCCCCACCCAGCCAAAAGTTATGCGGACAAACAGACAAACAAATAAACAGACAGACAGACGGACGGACAGGGCAAAAGCTATATCCCCTGTAATCGAATAAAAATCTATCTCTTTACCAAAATTGCTTTTTCTCTGCCTACTTGTTACTACCATGTCAGTTATCACATTTATCATTATCACAAGCCATGAATTTGCGAATCACAACTTGCATATTCTGGGTGTTAACCTTTCGTATCTTTGGCCTTCTGATGAGGCTTTTAACATAGAAACAAGTTCAGAAATATTTTCACAAAAGAGAGTAAGCATTCAATACCATATATATAGGCACCAATTGAAATATCTTTAAGTCAATGACCCCTATGAGTAAGACGATTCGAACTGTCGACCAACCGTGAATTATGGCTGGATTTTGTTTATTTATCTAAACACCTATGATTGACTGATGACTTCAGTTATTCTTAGCAAATTTCCATGTTTGTTTTCTTTTCAGTGTAAAATCAATTCTAACAGTTTTATAACAATCGCTGGGGAGGCCAGATATAAAACCATTATTTTCTCCAAAGTCAGTAAATCTATTTCTATCCAATTACCATGCATTCGAATTCTTCAAAATACTATTGAAGATCGTTCACTCGACATTTACACAACACATATATTTGACCTGAATAAACTAAAATAACAGTATTTTGTTGAACCCTTACATTACATAAACAAGTCTATGTTTGTCAGAATTTTCTTTCATACATTTCATTACATTGAAACACTGTCTGCCCTGCCTACTCAGTCAAACTGAGTACTAAGTCCTCATGTCCTAATGACATCAAGGCAACATGAGTGATAAGCTTAGCCCAAAGATACATCCAAATTGAAAATATCAATACTTAAGCATGTTTGAAATGACATCACTAGGAATTTCAAAAAGACAAAGATAGTATTTCAATAAAATACATTTTAACTTCATGTGCATGACCACATCTTATTAAAGTTACACAATTTTTCTCCATCAATTTTTTTTTACCTCCACCAAGATTAAAGTACTGGGTGCTGACAGATTTTTAAAAGCGAGTATCAAGAATGTATTAAAATCTCACGTCCTTTTTTTTTGTCAAATAAGCTGACACTTGCTCTATAAGAGATTCTTCTCTAAAAAATGTTGAATATTTGTTCATGGTTGTGCTACCTCAGCAATTCTATCCATTCATGACCCCCCCCCCCCCCTTTGCAACTGTTCCTGTAGACCCTGAGGCTCATGAGCAACCATGCTCACCTGAGCTCATTGGCTTGAAGTTTAGCAGTTAAAAGTTTAAATTTATATATAAGTGGTCCTACCTTCACCCCAAGGATGGAGCAGATGAGTGAATCATGTTTTGAACAAATTTGAGCTTTGTATGTCTAAATGATGCCATTAAAAGATTAAGGTTTTTACCAATTTTCTCCTATTTAGTTTTCTGTATAAGTTTGATTTTCTGTCACGGTCTCATTCTATTTCAAGAGGTCTTAAAATCTGAAGTATTTTGAAGGATTTGAAAAATTAGAATTAACACTACTTGAGGATGAATCCATATATATACGATTACTTCTTTAAGTGAAGATTATACATATTACAATGTAAAACCTTCTATTTTTGTCCCTCACAAATCAAAAAGGGGGAGGGGGCATGCTTTCAACAAACTGAATCGCCACTACCTGAATTTGCTTACATATTAATATGATCAATTGTGATCTGAAAAGTTTACTTGAACCTTCACCTCAGGTGAACTTAAAATTATTATCTCAAATTAGCAATTTACAATTTTTTTTTGATTGGCTATTCGTTACATCATATCATTTTTGTATGCATGATGAGCAGATCATGATTGTTCAATGACAAGTAAAACAAGTAAAAATTTCAGTTTCAGTTTCACATTTTGCCAGTGAACTAACAATAATGATGTTATAAGTTTTCCAACTTTAAAGGCCACTTGAAGTAAATTTTTAGATTATCATCTCTATCCACTATCTCAGAGTGTCAGTCTGGATTTTTTAAAATCTAAATTTAAAAATGAGCTCCATAATATGCATATATATACAAAGAATATATACATACATAAGTGGAGGGGGGGTATTGTAGGAAAATTAAATTAAATTTGAAAAGATGGGCTTGCTTTCTTTTATTGTATTGTAGAAAATTTAAACTAAAACTTAAAAGATTGGCTTGCTTTTGTAACTCACGTCCATGTCAACAATATAACAATTTTGATTTTTTTTTTTTCCTTAAAGAATATGATATGGGTATTTTTTTAAATTTAAAATAATTAAAAATTTAAAATAATTAAAATCCAACCAATTACCCCACAGATTTTTTTTAAAATGAGAATCTAAAAACTATAAGTTACATATTGCATTGCCAAACCTTGATATTTGTGAAACGATTATTATTAATGTATTAAAAAGTCTGAATGGTTTCTTTTTCTTGGAATAGTGAAACCTCATAAAAAAAGTCCAATGACTTTGTGTTAAAATCTCTGACAAGTACGTAAAAACGTACAGGTCATGAGGGTCAAGCAAAAAACCCGCAAACTCACCAGAACCATACATGTACATGAATAAGAACATTCAGTTCAATATTGATACATCTTGCATTACAAACAAATTCAGATTACAATTCTGAAATAGTGTAGAAAAACAAGAGGCCAATGGGCCACATCGCTCACCTGAGTTACTTTAGTGATGCAGTTCTTTAACAGATTTCCCCTGTTCTTATATCTATTGTGCCCCCCCCCCCCCCCTTTCTTGATTTTAACAATTTAGATTTTTTAATACTTCAGGATGCTTCCACATAAGTTTAAGCTTTCCTGGCCCAGTGGTTCCTGAGAAGATTTTAAAAGATTTTCCCTACAAATTTCTATGTAAAACTTGGATTTCTTGTTGTGGCCCCGCCCTACCCCAGGGGTCATGATTTTTACAATTTAAATCTTACAATACCCCAGGATGCTTTCACATAAGTTTCAGCTTTCCTGCCCCAGTGGTTCTTGAGAAGAAGATTTTTAAAGATTTGTTCTATATATTTCTATGTAAAACTTGGGTTCCCTATTGTGGCCCAGCCCTACCCCTGGGGGTCATAATTTGTACAATTTGGATCCTACACTACCCAAGGATGCTTCCACGTAAGTTTCAGCTTTCCTGGCCCAGTGGTTCTTGAGAAGAAGATTTTTTAATGACCCCACCCTATTTTTGTCTTTTCTTGATTATCTCCCCTTGGAAGGGTACTTGGCCCTTCATTTTCACAATTTAAACTCTAGTCTCGTTCAACCAGACGCTCGGCTGTCTCCGTAAACTCCGACCAGCAGAGAGTCTGGTAAAGATTCACGTAAGCGTTTGTAACCGTCAGAGGGCGCTATCTTGTTTTCATTTTGACGAGCTTTTTTGAAAACAAATGCTATATATGTTTCTTCTTCTGGATTGTGACTTTATATTAATAAACTGATCTTTAATTTGGGACACCAAACGAGAAATTACAATATCAATCGAAGGAATGTGTATTACGCAGGTAGGGCTACACAACTTTCACTTTTGTTGTCGATAGCATATTTTCAAGACATTATTAAACACACTTACATATAACTGGTGGGCATTACCGTTAACAATTCCTCTCTAACAGCTTGAAGTTTTAGACATATAACTTTTACATCTTTAAGTTATTTTTCTGCCGATTTATCATGTATTTGTTTAAATCATGTAGGTGTGTTCTTTTCAGCCAATCAAAATATTTACCAGAATTTCAGTAAGCCTTTTGGCATTACAAATGATATCACGTATCTTTACCAGACCCTCTGGCTGGTCGGAGATTTACGGAGACAGCCGAGTGTCTGGTTGAACGAGACTATTTAAACTCCCCATCAGCCAAGGATGCTTTGTACCAAGTTTGGTTAAAATTGGCCCAGTGGTTCTTGAGAAGAAGTTGAAAATGTGAAAAGTTTACAGACGGACGGACGGACAGACAGATATTTACATATTTACAAATTCCCACATTTACAAAGAATCTTATATGTGTTTTATAATGCTCATAAGAATTATTTTTTTATTTAGTATAGACTTAACTCACTTTTAAGTATTATCAAAATTGTGTGTACATTTTGACAAGTGCTATATGGCATTACTGGTAGGTAAAAAGTTATGCTAACTTTTTTCATTTATCTCCACTTTTTGCAAAGATATGATAAAAAAAAACCTAATTTGAATTCAAGTTTCTTTTTTTAATATAAAGTTTGCCATCTTAAATATAAATAAATGTGCAAGAAAATGAGGAAATTCTTTTATAGTAATTTCTATGCATTGCTATACATCTGAAATAATAGCCCCGTGTTTACTTCTATAATTCCATGGTATTTTCTCTAATACTTCAAAAGTATGGCATTTTTAAAAAAAAAGATAAGCAAGAAATAAGGGGAAAAAATTCTAATGCACAACTTTATTATTTTTCTCCAAAATACCCAATTGTCAAAGGAAAAACAGCACTTTAAATTTTGCGTGAAATGTTTTTAAGCATTTATCATGTTTATTGTAACTTTTGTAGGTTAGTTATTTTTTTACTTAATTTTTAACATATTTGAAAATTGGTCAAGGCTATAACAATTTGCTGAAGGCCTATTTTCCATTTTTAAATATTAAAAAGACACTTGCACAAAAAGTTAGCATATTGTATTGAAAGGTTAACATGATATTGTTTTAACATTTACTTATTAGGTGTGAAGACATGTACAGTATCACATAAATTTCTTGACTTGTAAAGCCTTTCAATGACTCACCCTCTTTTGTTACTTGTTTTCCCCTCTGTGTCTATTTTTGGTCGAAACACAGACCTATAATTTAGAGGCATTTGCCTGAGAAGTGATAAATGTGGGTGGTAGGGTTTCAGTCAGTAGAGAACAATATTTTTTTATGGGTTGTTTAAATAAAGTTGCTCGAGATAAAGTTTGCCATGTAAGCATAAAAGAACAGTTGAATTCAACATGTTTGTGATTCATATCAACCAATCAATAAAAAAAAAAACAGAAAAAAAATCATTAACTAGTAAACTCTGCTTTTGTTTTAACAATCCAGTTAAAACACTTCCTTTGACATTTTGCATGGGTCAGCATGTCATTACATCATCTCACCCACTGCAAAATTATGTAATATGAACCTCTCCCTGTATTTTCCTAAAATCAAGGGACATATGTTCAGAAAATCACAAATTCAGATAATTTTTAACTTATATTCAAATAACATTTTGTGCATAAAATGAGGTTGTAAATAACATTCATTGCAACTGCACAACATAACTCAATCATGTCAATAGGACTGTTTGTGAACATGTCATAATGTCTGCATGATATCTACCGGCGAATTATGACCCTTGATTTAGAACAAACTCGGTCTCTGATTAAGACTGAAACTGCCCAAACATAATAAGCAACATTTCCTTTGTTGTCCATAATTAACACGGAACATGATTAGACGTGAAACACACTCTCAACTATCCATCTCTTACAAACTATTTATTATTTTTTTGTCCAGATCACCGAAATTTCCCCCAGTAAAATGCCGGTTCCTCTTTTCATTTCAGACCAACATTTACGCTACTTACCTGGGTGACCGTGGGTAGGGAAACCTTGAGACGAGGGTGTTTACGTCCCCCGGTCCTCACTTCAATTTAGACACTCGGTCAATTATCTCGTGTATGTGAACTCTCCATGACTGAGTGACCCAATTATTCACAACCAGCACTGACCCAAATTCAACGTAATTTTTCTAACAAGGGAATTGATTGGTCCGAAAATATTGCAATTCAGCTGGTGTCATATACTTTTGCAAGCATTTTTGGTAAAAGTACGATATAGAAATTAAATATTAGGAGTTTGACTTAAATAGGTCAATAATATGTATCATTTTCAATTTAAAAATGATATATAAAATGCGTAAATAAGAAGAAAATCAAAAAAATATCTGTAACCTGTAAACAACTTACCTAAAATATAGGTCAAATTGCCGAACCAATCATTTTGCGTCTTTCATATCCCCCTTGGAGAGGTCGGCGCTCGTTACAAAAAGTAAACAACTAAAATTAGAAAAGTGTCACGTAATACCGAACATGCAACAGCTGATTTGATACCGAAATTGAAATGATAACTAATGCACTAATTTGACTGTGATTATTCCAAAAAATCCTAAGAAATACGATGCATTTAGCAGATCGATAATTAAATTCGTGATGGCAGAATATAAGATCAACAAACAAACATGCTTTAAGAGGTCAAAAACCTCGACGGTGACCTTTTGTAGATAGGTGCAATGTCATGCTACGTCATACATGGTAAGTAAAGTGGCGGATCTATACAATTCCATTCTCCAGTGTTCTCATAAATTAACAAGAATTACTGAATAGATCGAGTGGTGAATCATGCTGAAGAGACAGCATGCAATGTACACGTTGCTCTATTATCATGATTATAACAAATATATAAATAAGAACATTAACAAAATTCACACGCATTTTATTTTACCAATTACCATGCCTTAACTTTTCTCCCCTTCCTCTTTCTCAATGCATTTGTTTGGTTTAATTTCGCAAGGGGTTAATTAAGGAATGACTCTAATTCTTGGCCAGCTGCAGATTATCGAGTATATAATATGGTTTGGGTCAGTTTACGCTTTATAATCCGCGAAGCGGATTATAAAAAAGCGTAAACTGACCCAAACCATATTATACTCGATAATCTGGCCAAGAATTAGAGTTATTCCTTATAATTTAATTTTAAAATAATTAAACAACTGGGGATGTAAAATTGTGTTGTTTTTATTAGTTCAAATTTACCGCGCAATAATACAACCGTAGTAACGGAAGTGATGGGAAGCAAGGGGAGGTAAAAACTGATACATAGATCTAGCAGCCATGATTCTTGTTTACATGAGGTAAGATCGAGCAACTGTTTGAAGTTAAAGGTACATTCATTAAATCTGGAATTTTTCATGAATCCGAAGGACTGGAAATGAGGGGATTGATGGATACAGATGATTCAGCTGGTTGTCAAGGGGGTGTGTCCCCATACCAAACCAGATTATACAAAATGTTATGCGTTCCTTTTTGGAAATCAACCAATGAGAGACAAGAATACAAACAGAATTAAATTATTTGAGAGTAAAAAAAATATCTGAATGCACCTGTTATGTGTTGGATGCACAGGCACTTATACTTAATGTTAAAAAAATTATTTCAGAAACAAGTATCTGTGGTTTGATGTCTCGCTCGCTGGAAATGCTGAGTGCGATAATTGTGACATCATTGTTGTTTAAAAATTGTAATTCATATGACGTCATAATTCAACAAATCGTCTCACTCGCTGGAAATGTTGAGTGCGATTATTGTGACGTCATTATCTGTTTTTTAAAAATTGTAATTCATATGACGTCATAATTCAACAAATCGTTACAACATCAACGAGAGAATGAGAGAGGGTAGAGGGAGCTATTTGACTTGTCAAGATAAATCATGGGCTTCGGAACCGGGGGGGGAGGCTAGGGCCCCCACCCCACTTTTTTTTCAAGAATAGACTTAGTATAGGCATTGAACATAGCGGCGTAGGTTAAGCCCCCCCCCCACTTTCCAGACACGTTGCAGTATAGGTTAAAAATGGGGAAAGTGGTAATATTTGGAGAAAAATTTTGTACTGAAAGAAGTTCGACTCTAACTACCCCCCTCCCCCTACGTAATAGGATTTTTGCGTTTTTGTTTGTTCGTTCGTTTGTTTGGTTGTTTGTTTGTTTGTTTTTTGCCTGTCAGGTATTTTTGCAGGTCTAAAAAAATTCTCTTACACATAGCCCCCCTCCCACTTTTAATTTTCTTCCGATGCCAATTTTAAATTAATATTACAAACAATATTCAAAAAGACAGTTTTTCTGCGTACCACAACATTAGTAAGGATGCAGACTTTATTTCAAAACATATAAACACAGGCATCTGACGTTACTTATTTTTCTTTTAATATAAAAATATATTATTAGGGTTATATTTTTTTTATGGAAAGAAAAATAAATAACGTCAGGTGCCTGTGTATATTAACTATATATAGACCTACTTTTGTCTGGCACATAATTATGACGTTGAGATTTAAAAAAATATTTTTTTTTACCAAAACAAACAATTTATAAATATCTTAATTTCGAAAAAAAAAAATCAGTAAATATATAAATGACGCATTAATTGTCATAGCTTGAAGAGGTTTTTTTTTTATTAAGTAAAAGAAACTAGTTTTTAGCTTTAACATAATGATCATGATGATATTTCGTGCATTTCCTAATTATGGACCGCCAACTGGCGCCTCATCATACATGCCATCTTCGCTAGCCAAGGGTTTCCGATCCGATACCTACTGGTGTAGAGTAGGTATCGGATCGGAAACCCTTGGCTAGCGAAGATGCATACATGCTTAATCATACATAGTACAGTTATACGCGAAGATAAAAGGACCTGGTTATTCATGGTTTATATATGTTTCCAATGATACCTTCATCATGGGATCTTTGGCATATATATACCTATACTTTTGAAAACAACAATTTGCATGCAACGCAGGCGCAGATCCAGAAATTTAAATGGTCAAAACACATTACTTTTCATTCCAATTTCACATGGATCCGCGTTTTGAGGAGAAGTCCCCGTTTTCGGGGGGGGGGGGTCCATTGTCACTATTACTTGGTTAGTGTACACATTTAATAACAAATTCCAGGGGGGGTCTGTACCCCCCGATCCCCTTTCTCTTGACCGGCACATGAAATGGCATAAAATCTTGCTTAATTTAACAGTAAGATTGACATTCTCTTTTATATACGAGTTTTTAGAATTAAAGTTACACTATGAGCCAGAATCATGTATTTCTTTTTAGAAATCTCTATCATACATGCAGAAAAGGATTTATAAAAATTTTGAGTATATAACAATGTAGCTGCAGAACTGTAGCTCTCCGTAAAAATATAATATTGACAGTCCGGTCTGTCTAAATATATTTTTTCGGAGAGCTTCAGGTCTGCAGCTAATAACAAAGATATAACTTAACTGCATCATAAAGCAAGAAAAGACTGCACAATATAAGTGCCGGAAAAAACAAAGATTGTATCTTTATACCGTTTCGTTGTTTTCGTGTATGTCAAGGTCACGCCACTTGTCTGGATCATACAAAGGTGAGAAATATGTTCTAACCATGCACTTTTTTTAAAAAAGATTGTATCAAAATTCTTGGTCTACCTATATTCATTTTTAGGTACTTTTTAGGTACTTGAGACCATGGTAACCATGGTAACTTATTAATTTTTTCTGTGCACGCGTACAATAGAGAGGAAGAAGATAAGTAATATTTTTCGTGCTGGGGCATACTGAAATTATTTTTACTTTTATTTTTCTCCATATAAATAGATTTTTTAGGCTCTGAAACCTGTAATTTTCTGAAACTTAATACTTTTAGGAATTGTACAAAATTTACACAGGTCATACAAAAATTCTACGTTTGTCA